AACGTCTGATTTTTAAGCAATAACAATAATTCTCGTAAAAACGAAATGCTACTTGCTTGTATTTTGGATATTGGAAAAAGTTATCAACTCTTTGTCCATCGTAATCAAGTGATGTTAGTTAACGTTGAATCTAGTTTCTTTAGTGAATAATTAGCCCAATGCAATTTATTATCAGTTTTTATCACTTATTGTCATATAGCGCATTCAACATTCACTCATTATATTAGTTCACATAATTGTAGTAGATAAGATCTCTTTGACTGAAGAACTAAATTGGCCCTTGAACAAAATCGATATATTTTCTGTTGCTAAGCTATATTTGCGTTGCACATTTTTTATTGTAAACATCAATCAGAAATTAACGAGTCGAATCAACTATTGTGTGGCTTTATAGATGGTGGTTTTCTATCTTTGTTTGAAGAACTTATTATTAGAAATTCCGATACTGACTTCTTTATTGATGCAACAATACTGCGGATTTTCACTTGGAAACAAACTTATATATTTTCAATTGAAAACTGATAATTTCCGGAACTGAAGGCAATAGCTCTAACTACTGAGTCACGGAAAAGCTCACCTAGAATTTTCTGAATATTTATTCTGTTATTATTGCAACCATTATTGACCAGTAATCAGAATTATTCTCAGAGTTATCGCGCTGTTGCTTCATGTATTTTCATTTAGATAATTTTATTAGAAAGAACTTTTTGGTTGTCTGTTACCTTTGTGATGACTTTTTGCATACTTCAAATTTAGATATGTTAATGATTTATATTGTAGCAACGCAGCGAAAAACTATTTTTACTTAAGTGAATAAGAACATCTCTACTGCATGATATCATTTCGAATAATGATTGTAAACCATTTTCCTACTAAGTGATTATATTGAGTAATGAATTTTTTAACACTAGAATGACGGAGCGAGTCAATTTGACTCATTTGCATTTTTCATGTGATATACATAACAATTACAAGTCATTTTTTAAATTTTTTTTTTGGTTTTTCATAGTACAATGAACGGTATACATGGTATATACACATAGATAAACAAGTATAAAATTAATATTATACGTATACAAAAATTAATTTCTATTCCTCCCTTATCCCTTACCCAAATTGATTCTCAATCAGACAAAATAGGTATATAACTAACCACCGTCATTCTAGTGTTAAATAGTAAAAATTTTGAAACTTCTTAATGTTTATTATTACAATTCTTATTCATTATTGATAAACTCAAAACAGCTACAGCTTAATATTTTGTGCTTTAGTGTAAAATTTATTACTGATTATTTGGAAATAATTTCTGGAACCATGTAGAACTAGCTTCATCAAAAAAATAAAGTTATTGAGTGATTCTGATCAGCCACATCACAGTCGTCATTTAACAGTCTATGAATTCTTCTTGAATAAAGAGAGATCTTCTACAAAAGCATTTAAAATTTCAAAAAGCCGCTTGTTCAAATATAAAATAGTAATAAATGGGAGTCTGCCCGAAGGCAGGTCCATGGTCACCACAAATCAATTATTTCTTTACTCTTCCTTATCTATCATTACCACTATTTTAACCATTTACCACAATTTTACCGCCTTTTAACGCATTTTTTATGTATTTTTCTTTACAAACATCTGCTTCCGTGCCTCCTGGTCCTGCGCTTCGGCTTTCAGATCCCTGTGTTTTCTCTTCTCGCGCAAGTCGTCAATCATTTGTATTCTTCTTCTTCCCATTCCTTTCAGTCCTTCTATTTTACTAGCGACTACGTCGTGTAGTAGGTACTCTTTTTGCAGAACGGGCACGATCGAGTTTTCTTTTCTTTTCAGGATTGTGCTCAGCAGTCCTTTCTTTGCCCACTATTCTCAGGACTTCTTCATTTGTTATCTTGTAGGCTTTATCTTCTCCATACGCCTCCAGCACCAGATTTCAAAACTCTCCAAGTAGTTCTTATCGGCCTTTTTAGAGTCCATGTCCATGTCTCTGATCCTTACAGAGCAGCTATGCTCCAAGCATTAGTCATTAGTCACTTTAATAGTCTCTTCCGCAAGTAGAGACTCAGTTTGCTCGTCAGTAACGTTCTCTTCTTCGTAAATGCAGCCTTGGAGTTGCGATCCTTGTCCTGAACTCTCTCGTGCTTTATGCGTTTCTGGTCAGGATGCTTCCTAAGAAGTATTTGAAATAATCTACATCTTCCAATTCTTGATTTCCTACCCTTATCCTTAGGGGCTCATTTCGTTTCGTGATTCTCATCGATTCATGAAATATGTTAAGTTTAATAATTCATCTATTGGCGAGTGGGTTTTGGAACTGTCCAAAAAAAGGATGACTAAAGACATTTGAAGGATTTCTTGGCTTTAGACATAAAGTGGTGGAAAAACAATTTACGCCAGAAAAAATAAATAGACCCTGTACCCGTTAGCAAATAACCTCATTGAACCCAAGGTTCAGATTGGTTATAAGAAATAAATTTAAAAAAAAAAAAAAAAAAAAAAAATAGGGCGCATTGGATGATCTGGATCTATCCCGAAAACTGCTTCAAATTGCTTTGAAGGCGTTTTATAGAAAACCAATAACTTTACTATTTTTCGGACCGATACCGGACTATCAGTCATTCCGGACTGTTGGATGACTGACTAATAAACATCTACTGTTTATATATACTATACCATCTATATTATATATACACAATACCAGGGCCGTGTCTGGGAATATGGTCGCCTGCGTGCGAGCATATATATGGCCGCCCTTCAAAATAGCATAATAGAAAAATATCAAATATATATTTTATGTTTTCTCGACGTTTCACGTAATTTTGAATCGTTCGAGGCCAAATGAAAAAAAAGTGTGCATGAGCCGATTTTTGACATTTTAACAACGTTTTCTCAAAAATGGTTAAATCGATTTCAAAAATTTTAAAAATTTAAAACATTTTAAAATTTTTTGATTTGATATAACTCGATAATGACTAGCGTCTAGGAGTTTTGTGCAACGATCAATCAAGGCGTTTCTAATCAACAGAGTAGTGTGAAATTTTTCGTACACATTTTAGCCAAAAATCCTGCATCGAAAGATATTTGGGAATCGTGTTGATTAGTTTTGAGAGATTTATTTATGATGATATTTATAAGTTTTTGGCGATAGAGATCATGGTCTCAAATATAGGTAATTAAATATTTCGACCCTACGATAAGTCGCTTTTTTACGTGGGCCAAATTTTAATCTTTAGTCGACGTTGGCTTAAAAATGTAGAATCCGATTTGAAAAATCGATGAAATTCGATAAGCACTCGTGCTGGTTAATTTTGCCCTACGATCGGCGGATCCATTTCTTTAGAATTATCAAAAAGTGTCAAATTTTTCGTCCACTTTATATCCTAAATTCGTGAATCGATTTTGTAAATTCAAAAGCCATTACAAAGTCACCATTTGATAATCATGCTAATTAGTTCAGCCGCTTTTTGATTCTATCACGTTCTTAATACGGCCACCTTCGGCTGATTTTTACTATGGCCGTCTTTCAGTTTAGCGGACTTTCAATACGGCCAGAGCCGGATTCAGAAATTTGGGGCCCCACGGCACTGACAAAATTCCGCCCCATCCCTGAAATTTTACTAACTTTCAAACTTTTTTAAAGCAATCGCGCTACTTTAGCTGCGTAGAGACAAAATAAAGAAGCGCGTAAGCACCGCGTCGCAGTCTAACGGATAAAGAATGTTACATAGGGCATATATGTATATGTAAACAAAATTTATACTTATTATTAAAATATCTTTAAAATATATGATAATTTGATGTGCATATGTCTAATGATCACTATTGTCCGCTAAATGTTTCTTTTTCAATTTTTTTTATTGGCTCATCGAAACCGCTAAACCTACCTCCCACAAATTTAAGCAGTTATTTATTCTGTCAATACATGTAATTTTATTTGAATTGCTTCTCAAAAACTGAATTATCATTTTTGGCATTTTGGCCCGTATCTTCAGAACAGTTGGACCTGCCTTGGCCAATTACTAATCAGCACGTCTCCTTATCAATAGGAATTGAATCATTTAAATTGGTTGATCCGTGTTCTCGAAATCGACTTGAATAATTAAAAAAGTATTAGATTATTGATGGCGAGCACAGGCAGTTTCAGAAAATGGTAATTGAGTTTCGATATTTCTTCTCTGAAGCAGCTACGCAGCTCGATTGCTTTGCAAAAAGTTCAAAATATTCAAAAAAAATCAAAATACAAAAAATGTGATTTAAAAGTCTTTTTTTTTCATTTTTCAAAAAATTTTAAAGCTCTTTATAAAATGTAATTTTCAATACGTGAAGTTTCAGTAATTTGTCTTAAAGCACAATGCCATGCGTCACTAGTGCACAAACTCGTCATTTTAAGAGGACTGGAGAACTGAAGAACATATTTTTCTTAAACTTTTAGCTTGTTTACGGATCTGTATATTAGCCAAATTGCCAAATTTGATAACTTATTAACCAACTTGATAATTTACGTTTGGAGAGGCAGACAAGGCAAAATAATAAATTTTATTAATCGTTTATTTCAACCCAAATTTTGCATTTCTATAGTATTATGTTTTGTTAATTATATTTCTTGAAATTAAAAATGTTGTTAAAAAAAGTTAATTATATTGTATAGAATTTTTTTCTCACTATTCAAATTTTGCCGCCCCCAAAAATTTGCCGTCCTGGGCAGTAGCCCCGATTGCCCCTACTGTAAATCCAGCACTGAATACGGCCACAAATAAATTCACCGACTTTCAGTTTGGTTTCCTCTTAATACAGCGGTCTTGTAATTTGGCCGCCTTTTAATTCATTTGGCTTTTAAAATGAAGGCCTTTTATTGCGGCACGCTGGCCAGGCACGGCCCTGCACAATACTCATCATATACAATTTAGATTGCGCTGGTTACACTCGAATTTCCGAATACTTGCAATTAAGTTCAGAATCTTGAAAATTTGATCGCCATCTATGATGCATGTAGTAAAATTGACATTTCTCAATGACAGCTACTTGAAATAGAAGCGCGCCACAAGGTTATGTAGGTTACGTCCGTCAGATTAAAGTGTGTGTATGACTCAATAAAAATACTCGTTAAAGTTAATAAAATGTACGTGACATTGAAAGAAATTGAGGAATTGCAGTCAGAAAATGTATATATCAAGGATAGAGATTATGTAGAGAAGACATTAAACGCCATAATAACCGACGGAGCAAATAATTTGCAAGTGGTAACAGATTTTGATTTTACAATTACCAAACACACTTTGCCAAATGGACAACCTACTTTGTCAAGCTTTGGACTATTCGAACGCTGCCCCAGTGTACCTGAATCACATAAGAAAAAAACTGCTGAAATGTTAAACTACTATAAACCAATAGAAGTAGACCCTACAGTTCCACGGGAGACCAAACTAAAGCTAATGGTGGAATGGTGGGAAAAAACTAGGGACCTTTGTAAAGGCTTTGCATTTATTGAACAGGAATTAAAAGATTTAGCAAAGGAATACAAGGAATCGTTTAGAGACAATGCTAAAAATATGTTTAAAACACTGTACGACAAAAACATTCCTTGTCTAGTATTTTCTGCAGGGTGTGGAAACTCTGTTGATGCAATGCTAGAGGCTGCTGATGTTAAATATCCCAATGTTAAAACTATATCAAATTTTTTGAAGATTACTAATGGACTTGTGGATGGTTTTGTTGGAGATATCATTCATGTAATGAATAAAAATGAAGCAGTTATCAAAGACACAGAATATTATAATCTTGTTCGAGACAGAGAAAATGTTATACTTATGGGTGATTCTCTGGGGGATGCTTGCATGGCTGATGGCATATCACACAAAAAGAAGCTAAAAATAGGTTTTCTATGTAACAATGTAGAACAAAGCTTACCGAATTATAAAAATAATTTTGATATTGTTATAGTAAACGACCAAACAATGAACGTTCCAAACTCTATAATTAATTTATGTAGTAATTAAATTACTATGGAATAATTGACAAACATATATTTTATTGCACAAATGTTGTTAACCAAAGCCTTTTTTTAAATAATGAAAGTCATATAATTGTTTTAATATATTGAATGTTTTAATATTATTTATTGAATGGCATTTGAAATTATGCGAATGTTAGAGTACAAAGAAATAAATAGTATTTCTAATATAATTTGTAAATGATTTTAATTTTAACGGGTGTTAATGATTTGTGATAAATCAAATTGTACTTACATGTAAATAAATGGGTTTTAACTACTTTTTAACTGGATATTTTATTTATAAATGAAAAAGAAGTCAATTAAACTTTTTTTAGTCAAGAATTGTGCTGAAATCTAGGAAATATACTCTGCAAAAATTTAAATTTTGTTTAATGTTTTTTTTTCTCAAAATTTGAGAACCATTAGAACTAGAGAACAGAACATTAGAACTATTCAAATTTTACATATTTTAATAAAAAATATATATGTAAGTAAAAAACTTTTATTGAGAATAATACACATTTTAACATAATTAGTTTTTTTTATTTGTTTTGTTTGTTTGTGTGAGTATTATGTTTGTGATTAAATTATGCTACAAATTTAGATGCAGAAATGAGAGAGATAATTGTAATAATTCAAATTTATAAAATATATTTATGAAATTTTGATATTTATGTTTAATTTGTATCTACAGCGTTAAATTACATTGAATTCTAAAAATATTCAATTTCATCAATAAATTCAGAATATTTCAATGCAATTGTACAATCTTCAGAAAATATTTATCATATAATTAATGATAAAAATTAAAAAATATGCGATTACCTTCTATACAGCATTTGTAAGTCATTGCTGCTTTGCTTAGATAAGCAATTCATTAATTAGCTTAGATAATTTTTTTATATAAACTTTTATTATATATAAAAATTTATATGTACATATATTTGACTGGGTGCTATACTAGATAAATTTATTTATTACCTAAGTTATTTAAAAGTTTTATTTGTTTAAATTGGGTGTAATGATAAAGAGAATTAGAAACACATTATTATGATTCTAGTTGGAGTTATTGATTAGAAATCTCAATTTTAAAATTTTTATCTAAACTAAAATCGATATCAAATATTTAAAAAAATCAATTTGGCATCATAAAATTTAATTTAATTTTTTAAGCAATACTGAAATATTATATATAATATAATATTACATATAATGATCGGTACCGATTTTTGATGGTATTATGTCGCCTGTTATATGGCAATATCTTTGCTTTGCTTTATTAGCAATATACCTAATATAATATAGCCATTGCTAATAAAAATAATAAGTAAACCTTATAATTATTTATTCGTATTACTTTTTTTAAAAAATAAAAACCAATGTATGACAAGACCAGAGTAATCAGTAAGTTAACTTATTAAAATTGAATTATATATTTTTAAGAATGATTTTGTGTTTAATACATTTTTATTGTGAAAATTATTTCCTGGTGGGTATGCATTATTTCATTTATGTGATTTATTTGTTTGTTGTTACTGTATTTAATTAATGTTTTATATAATTATATTTGATATTAATGATGACACATATCTACAGTGTAATTATATTGTTTATCATTTTTATTAGACGCAGTGGCTATATAAATAGGAATAATATATTTTATACTCAAAAAACTTAGAAATACACAGGTAACCCACGTATAACACGGTAGATACGATCCAAAAATCCATCACAATTTTTTAATAAAACTTGTTATGTTTATTAATTTTGTTAAAGAATTAATGTTTATTACATGAATAATATGATTTAGTCATAATTAACAAGTAAGCGCTATCCAACGAGATCCTTTCTTTTGCAAGATATCCTCATCCTCTAAGCAGTTTTTGCATTATTTTTTGCAAAAAAATCTATAATTGCGTTTTCTGGCTTTTGGCGAAAAGATAATTATATATTTACTACATGCAAAGTTATCTTTATTAAAATTTTATACTCATTTTATTTAAAGGATCTTTGTTTAAGACTAATTGACTAACTGTTCGGATAAGCCTAGATTTTTTTCGATAGAACGTATGCGCTCGAATAATAAATATCAAATTAGTTATGTTTTAATTTTAATTTTAGATTAAATAAAGTTTGAATTTCATAGGTTTTATTATATTTTTTATTTTAATGGGGTTTTGCTCACTTCTCAAACCCTGTTAGATCGAATCCGTGTTATAGATGTACCATGTTATGCGGGGGTTCCCTGTATATATATTCTATAAAGATGGTTCTACTTCCGTACTTGATTTATATATTTAATGACAATGTTCAGTTATTTCGTACGAACTGTTCCGGATCCATCCGAACAGGAAATAACCGACAGCAGCGCCTAGCACAATTGCTAAGCATAGCCAAACGTTGTATGTCATGACTACCAACATGAGAATATATGATATCGCGACTTGGAGGAAGTGCAGCAGGGTTTGCACAAAATGGCGCCAATTTAAAATCGCAGCCCTGAAATACAAATCATTATGTTAATTATCAAACAATAAATTTGATTGCTAAATAATGTGATTATAAATCAAAATTAATCATTTATAGTTGACTGAAATCATAAATAATCTTATCGAAATTGCATTTACAAATATTGATCGAATCTTATCGGCCTGAATAAATAGATAGTAATAGTAAATACGACTAGATATATTTTGAATCCCGCTCAAACGGAAAATTACTAAAGCATATTAAATAAGAAAAGAAAGAAAAATATGAATGACTGACAATGAGAGTAATTTTTGAAAAAAAAAAACAAATAATTGTATACAAATAATTAATAATTGAATTTATATTTTAAAGTTTAGATCATTAAATAATTTTGATGCTAGATCTCAATTCAAATTCATTATAAGCGCATATAAATGTACATTTATTATATTTTTTACTGTTACTTTTATAGTATTATATGCTAGTTGAAAAACATTTTTTTTAAATCGTTTCTTGCTGTTTTCAAAATTATAAAAGATCTGTAAACCACTTTACATTTTACTATAATAATATCAGTTTCAATAAATTGTAGGATCTATCTATCAAATATCTACAAAAATGTAAGACATTCTAGTTGTTTTGCCAGAGAAAATTTGTGTATTTAATAAATGAGAAATTAAAAACTTTATAACTTCCGCAATAATTTATCGATTTACATATTTCATTTAACATTTTTTAGATAGAGATTTAATCTAACTAAAAAAATAATTGTTGAAAACAATTAAAATAGATACAAGTATATAACCAAATTAGTGTCTACCGAATGTCTTCGCACTAAAATGACAGCGCGGTCGCGCTGCATAGCTGCATAGCGTAGCGGTCAAAATGTTAATGTCTCCCATCACAACAGACATATGGATAATAGGAAAGCTTGGAGCTAGTTTTAACTTTTTTTAATTAAAATATCTTGAGATCCACTAATTGGATTTCTACAAAATAAGAATGGATAGTTGAAAGTTAAAATAATTTCACAACTGTTGTTCATTATTTCACCATTAATCATTTTCTAGAAATTACAACTAACCACGTGTTTAAGTTATAGTAATAGGTGAAAATCGAAAATATTTTTTTTTACATTTCTTCATGTTTTGAAGGTTTTTGAACATTTTGGCATATCTCAGAAAAAATGAATGTGTGTGTATGTAGGTATGGATACGGTTCAATCGATTTGAATGGTTCAAAATACATTGGATTTCTATTGATAAGGTAATGTGCTGAAGAGTTTTTGCCAAATGCAGGTCTAGTTTTTTCGGAGATACGGTGCAAAGAGTGCAGATAATAAAAATCAAATTTTTGAGAGAAGGGAGCACTTGATTTGAATGATCTAAAAAAACATTCAATTTGTAATGAAGGGGAGAATTGGTGATTAGTTTTTGGCAAAGGCAGGTCCAGTCGTTTTGGAGATATCGTGCAAAACGCGCAAAAAATGGCAGTTTTCGAGAGAACTAAGCATCCGGTATGAATGATTCAAAAATCTTTTTGCGTGTGTTGACGAAACAATTGCTTTTGGAAAAAAAATCCATTTTATTTTCTCTCAAAAACTCGTTTTCTATTTTTTGCACTCTTTGCTTTGTCAAAAACTAATCAGCATATCTCATTATCAATAGGAATCGAATGTTTTTTGAACCATTCAGATGGGTTTGTCCGTACGCCCGAAAACGTGGACGAAAAAATGCGGACTTACAAAACACATACACGCATCCATTTTTTCTGAGGTATCTCTGAGGTGCAAAAGTTTTATTTTCGATTTTCGGCCCATTACTATAAGTTACGGGAATTTAAAAAAGTGTAATCTTAATCTTTGAATTTAATTTCTGCACGATTGGGCAGTGCTAAAAAAATATAAAACTCACTTGACATTAGTAGGGGGTCCATTGCACTGTGGTCCACTGCATTCACCTTTTTCGGCACGACCCACGTATAGAAGTCGTTCTCTAAGATATTTTAGTCCTTCGTACAAAATGGCAATTATAAACATTGCGACACATGCTCCAAACATTTCTCCTGCTCCATCAACGTGCCAATCCCACAACATCACCACACTCGTACCAGTCACGAACTGTAAATAAAACGACAAACAATTAACAATATATAAATAAATAAAATTCCACCGTGATTAATTGGATTGTGTATAGTTATATCGGTTTGGGAATTGAAGTACAAACTGGTATTGTTTTGTAAAATATTATCCGTATGTTTATAGAAAACTTAAATATAAGAAAATATTGGAACATTTTTCAATTATCTTATTATAAGAAAGCTGCTTTAGTCGCTACGAGTAGATTTAATAGTTTTTTTTAGTTGCATTTTTTTTGTGCTTGAAAAAGCTTCTGAAATGTATTCATCGGTATTCCTGAAGTTTTCGCCAAAAAATCTGATATGCTATGTCTGTGCTTTCTCGACGACGCAAAGTCATTCTGAGTCATTTGACACCGAAATGGCGTGAAGGATTTGTGTGTTTGCATGTGATTCAAAACTGAAACTATTGTTCAAAACGACTTCAAAAATTTTAAATCTTTACATTTTTTTGATTTTGAAAATTCAAAGACTATTTGAAAGATTTTTATATTGTAATTTTTTACTCTTTTCTTATTATGCAAATTTATATGAAATTTGTTATCATACTTTAGTGCATTTTTTCAAAGGAGGGCCTATCAAGTTGACCATTTTTGAAAATTTTAAATTATTGGTGCAACAAAGAGTTTTAATTCTTGAAAACTTTAGGCAATTTGGTCATTATTTTTGGTTGTGGTCTTATAAACGTTATTTACGAGGAGGACTAAATGAACAAAATAATAAATATTAACCACAATAACTAAAACATGGTTACATTTTTACCAAACCTCTATGCTGTACCTAAAAGCTCATTATTTTCAAACTAAGTGAGAATTGTATCAAGACTATCACCTTATAGTGCAGTAAACGGAGCGTTTTAGGTCTGAATTTTTTTACGGTGCTCCGAATTGAATGAAATTTTGGAATTAGGTTCATCTTACCCTCAAGTTCAAAAGTGAAAACAATTCGGGTTGCGCCATCACCCCCCAAGGGGATGACACCCCCTCTCAATTGTGTAATTACATTTTTTCAAAATAACGTCGGAAATCGATAGAAGAACTAATTATAAGAAAAAATGTCTTTTATAGTTTTTCAAAAAAAACTAATACTTTTCAAGTTACTGGCCACTAAAGATTCATATATTTTTGGCGTTTTTCTTCGTTTTTTTGCAAATATTTCCTAAAATATACATTTTAACGAAAATCATGTAATGAACGAAATAATGTCAGTAAAAATCTTAATAAATCGGTATTACATAAATTTTTCTAGGAAAAATATTGAGAAAGATTTGAAAGAGCAAAGTTGTTTTTTATTTCGTTCAAGATTTAATTGTTGTATTTAAAGCCATCTAGTGTCGAGGTTTTACATTTTATGCGTTTCGGTGAAATTGGGTTTTTTAGTGCTCAACATAAGCTTTAAAATGAGTGCTGTTACAAGTTTTTTGCGTGTAAAATGAGTGAGCTATCGTGCAAATAAGAAGCATATACGAAGTTTTTTTCTTTTAAATCATATGGTTTAATGAGCGCCATTTCCACCAGAATGAAAGTAATTTACATACCATTTAGAATTCACTTCATTATAGACATCTTGATGGATTCTGGCAGATTCACTACTTTAGTACAAACTATGTTCAGAAAACTCACGATTTTATAAAAACTTTTTTTTCCAATTTTTAAAAAAATCGAAATTATTTTCATTATATCTCAAAAAAAAATAAAAGATACGTATAAAAGCATATAGATAAAAATCAAAGGGATCTTTCTGGCTTATTTTTGTTATTTATTATTTTTCTTTCACACAAAAATTGACAGAGTTATGAATGTTTAAAGACTGCGCGGCCGCGCAAATTGGAAAAAAAAGTTTTTATAAAATCGTGAGTTTTCTGAAAATAGTTTGTACTAAAGTAGTGAATCTGCTAGAATCCATTAAGATGTCTATAATGAAGTGAATTCTAGATGGAATGTGAATTACTTTAATTCTGGTGGAAATGGCGCACATTAAACTATGTGATTTAAAAGAAAAAAACCTCGTATATGCTTCTTATTTGCACGATAGCTCACTCATTTTACACGCAAAAAACTTGTAACAGCACTCATTTTAAAGCTTATGTTGAGCACAATAAAACTCAATTTCACCGAAATGCATAAAATATAAAACCTCGACACTAGATGGCTTTAAATACAATAATTAAATCTTGAACGAAATAAAAAACGACTTTGCTCTTTCAAATCTTGCTTAATATTTTTCCTAGAACACTTTATGTAATACCGATTTATTAAGATTTTTATTGAAATTATTTTGTTCATAACATGATTTTCGTTAAAATGTATATTTTAGGAGATATTTGCAAAAAAACGAAGAAAAACACCAAAAATATATTAATATTTAGTGGCCAGTAACTTGAAAAGTATTAGTTTTTTTGAAAAACTATAAAAGACATTTTTTTCTTATAACTAGTTCTTCTATCGATTTCCGACGTTATTTTAAAAAAATGTAATTACACAATTGAGAGGGGGTGTCATCCCCCTGGGGGGTGATGGCGCAACCCGAATTGTTTTCACTTTTGAACTTGGTGGTAAGATGAACCTAATTCCAAAATTTCATTCAATTCGGAGCACAGTAAAAAAATTCAGAGGTTATACCCTTTTTTCCTCTCCGTTTACTGCACTATTATTTCAGCTTCACGTTGAGTTCTAGGTCTCCCCGTATATATGACATTTTTTATTAGTTAGTGTCATTTTTTTAATATCTATAAAAATCTAGAGGCCATAATTAATTTTAAAACAGACGCCGTTGTCAAATTTATTTGGATGAAAACCAATGTTATCTTTCAAATCTTGACGAAATTGATATGAAAATAGAAAATTTGATTGCAAATCCGCAAATTGATCAAATATTTACGTTTCCATGCAACAAATCTTTAAATAGAATACTTGTTATGGATACAAGATATTACATAGTAATCATTGATAAAATAAAAAATTTAAATTATTGATTATATTAATTAAATATTCCAATCTATTTAATATCAAAATTAAAAATCGAAGTTAAGAATTTGGTTTTTAGAGTTTGGATTTTCAAGACTCATATATTAAATTAAATAAATTAAATTAACTATTAGGTTGAACAAATAAAAAAAAAGAAAAACGAATCAAACTATGTTGAGAAAGTTTAGAAATTATATTAGTATTCTGTAATTTAGTTTTAAATTATTAAATTTAATATAATAAATAATTAAGAAATTGTTTGAAATTTTTTAGGATTTTTACTAATATTATTTATTAATGAAATTTTTAACAATATTTATTAAAAATTGGCAAGGACTAGCAATTTCCTAACCAGTTCCATTCTTATGTCGCTTTTTTGCGTATAATTATTTATGCGGTTACATATTTATCTTAATAAATTATAATCAACCGTGATACATTTTATGGTTACATATTTGATATACATTTCCTGTTTTGCGTAAAAATGTTAAATTAATTGTTATTATAAAAATATTTTCAACTTCATTTAATACATTTCGAACAGTAAATCGACTTACTTACTTACTTATTTTTGTTCATATCACTAAGTAAGCTAACGAAGATAAGAATTTTTTTTCACTTTTGTTATTTTATATAAAAGCATATGCATAATTAATATATATGATGAAGATATAGAGGATATAGAAGAATATATAGAAGTACGATTTTTTTATATTTTTGTCAATTAAACCTTTCCAATCGGGAGTTCCGAAATTAATATGTATTTTATGGCCTATGGCATCCGAGTGGAAAGGATAATATTTATAATTGAAGAATAAACAATTTAAAAAGTTACTATACCAAATATAATAAATAAAAAAGTATCTCATTTCTAGTTATCTTAAAACTTGCAAGGTTCTTTACACACTTATAAACACATATTTAAACATTTTGTTGCAAAAGTTAGTTTATTATAATATTACCAAGAAATGATTACAAAATATTACAATATATGAAATTATAGAGAACTTAACCTTTAAAGACGCATTATTCCTATTATTTTAAATCATCAAACTAATCCAAACGTTTAGTATATATAAATCTATATATTTTAATTCACTGATATATGTTAATATTTATATTTCAAAACAATTTCATAACTTGTAAAACTAATTTTGTTTCTTTGGACTATTTTATATTTTCCACAGAATTGTTTCAAAAGTTACGAATAAACACATAAATTATTTGTAGGATATTTAATAAAAAAATCTACAATGAATTCAATATCACAAAAATATTTTTTTTATCGAATACATTTCTTTTTAAAAAAGAATATTTATAATATTAATTACTGACGGCCCTATTTTGATCTATGAAATTCTCAAAGAGTGTTTTATCAAAATTTTCTTATAAAAACGTATTTCTTATAAAATTTCTACTTATATATCTACTTAGCATATTGCAAATTCATATTAATTTAATTAAATTTGCGATTTATTTATATTGACATTCAAGCTCTGAAAATTTATTATTCATATAATAATTTTATCATTTGTTTTTGCTATATACGCGAACTAATATTTAGTATATGTTATTACACCTCGCAGACTAATTAGATTATTTATTTATATAAACGTCTATAACTATGTAGAGTAAATTTGTAATGTAGTACATATTGATAATTTCATAACTTAAGCTACTGGTAAGAAAATTGAATATTAACATGTAATATATATATTATGCCTTGATAAGCATTTTAAATATTGATAAGCATTTTCAATATATTGACTCATACTATCCAGATTTTAAGATCTGGATCTGGGAAAGTACGAGTCAATATATTAAAAACGCTTATCAATATTGAAATATTTCTACCGATGTAATTGATTTTGATCAAACAAATAAGTTAAAGAAATTGCAAGTAGTGAATTACTATAATATCACGAAAATTAAGCAAATCAGATTTTTTTTGGCAAAAACATAAACTTAATATGGTATCAATATATTATTAAGAAGTATAAGAATATATACATATCGTTATCTCAATAGAAAGTCCTTCGTGCCGCCCACGCCGTGATTATTATATTGTCTAGGGTGCCTCCTATCCCTATCACCTCGAAAGAATGAAATTACTTTTTATATGACTTAGGGTCTATAATACAAATAACAAAACCAGAGCAATTAAGTTGATAATGTCTGAAAACATTTTTGTGGTCATCAATTTCCACAAGAAACAATTGTTTTTACCAGAAAATCTGATATGCTAATTTCATGTTTTTTTGACATTTCAAGTCATTCTGAATTGAATGAGACCACTTATCAAAACTTGATAAGAACTAGGGTTGATTTGTTTTGCGCGACGATCGGCTGAGCTATTTCTTTATAATTTATCAGGAAAGTGTAGAATTTTTCGCTTACGTTTTTGCCTATAATCCTGAATCGATTTTAAAAATTCAAATATTGTTTTTGGTAAAGATCTGCCTGGCCGTTTCTTCGTAATTATAAGTTGAAAACGATGTACGCTCTGTGTTTCGTAAGTAGCTACTAATTACAGTTGACGTCCACTCTTAAATAAAATACATGTTTAGAATATGAAATAGTTGAAATGTAATGTATTAAACAAATTAATTTAATTTATACAATTACAGTAGTGTTAAGTAAGTTTAAAAGACAACAATTGGAAGTCGTATTTTTTTGTGAAAGCGAAAAAGTTATTTTTGAATTAATTCTAAACAGTTGAAAGATAATTGTTATTGATTAAGTCAATTATGTTTACGTATAAGAATGTTCCGCAACTTTCCTTTTAAACTAGCCAATAAAATTTTTAGAAAATCCTAAGAAAGCTTTTTCCATTTCAGTTCAATATAGAGATTCCAGCCCTATTTTAACCTTACAAATTAATTAACTTCCCGTAGGGTAATTTATAGTAATCGCAAAAAAATCGAAAATGAAAATTTTCATATCTTTACGTTTTAAAGGTTTCTGAACATTTTGGCATACCATAGGGAAAATGGATGTATGTGTGTGCGCGCGTGTGTGTATGCTGATACAAATTTTCGTTGACGATTTCGGGAAGACGGATCAACCGATTTGAATAATTTAAAAAAAAATCGATTTGTATTGATAAGGAGACGTGCTGATTAGTTTTTGGAAAATGCAGGTCTAGCAGCTGGTCCGAAGATAAGGAGCAAAAAGTGCCAAGGATATTTAATAAACATCAGCTTTTAAGTGAACGGAACGTCCGATTTTAATAATTCAAAAAAGAATACAAATTTACTTGTATTGACAAGATGAAGAACTGATTAAATTTTTAGGAAGGCAGGTCTAGAGATTTCGAGGATCTAGTAAAAAGGTAAAATATAATGCAATTTGGCGGTCAAAAATGATCATTAGACATATGCACATAAAATGATCAGATATTTATAGAGATTTTAATAATAAGTATAAATTTTGTTTACATTTCTATGGTTTCCTGGGTAACATCGTTTGTCCTTTAGACGCCGACGCAGTGCTTACGCGCTTCAATATTACAAAATAAAAAAAAATAAAAAAAATTCAAAAGTTTTTTTTCCAAATAAGTCAATTTTCCTCAAAAATTTAAAATTTCTCAAAAATCAAATTTTTTCAAAGATTTAATCTTTTTTTTTTTAAAAAAATTGTTACGGGAAGTTCCAGCAATTTGCCTTAAGACACGATACCATACACCACTAGTTTATATTTATATAAAATATGAATTACTAATTTTAAAAAATATATTTTAAATAATTGTTAGGATTTCTACCGTCATCTCCATGGAATGTCCTTCGTGTCCTCCATCACTTCCATGACCTTCATGGCCATCATGACCACCATCCCCGTGACCTTCGTGGCCTGACATCTTGCGTTCAAAAGACTCACTATTTCCAAAGTTAATTTACCAAGACGTTCGCTTGATGGCTCAACTGAGCAATCGCTTTTTGTTGAAAAACTATTGTTATTATTTTAAATTAAATACTACGATGTTAGATTGAAATGTGTACTACTGTTCACTGAAGTAATTTGTGGCTCTCTATATTATGTGCAATAAATTTAATTCAAAAACATATATTTTAACTAATTTTTATAGTTTGTTTTTATTTACGTGAGTTGCACAACTTGATATTTAATAAGTTTAATATTTTAAGGTGTTTGCACAAAAAACACGTGTCAATATTAATATGTGGTTTAGTTATAAATGTTTATTTATTATTATTTTATAATATTTTGACTCCTATTTCATTGTTATTGACACAAATGTTGCTTCACGCGGTCAGGTATTCACTTTATCAATTATGTTGCGGCAATGTGGTTTTTAGATTATCTATCAAAATTATTTATATACTTGAACATCCGTCTGATAAAATTTAAGGGAAAAATAGACAATATCTGTTTTTTCTTTTCTCCGAGCAAAAAATATAGAGATAACTATATTTGATTTCGATAGAAGCATTTGTGTAGCATTGTGTCATTAAACGATAGTAAATATTTGCAATTCCAATACTGCATTTCAGTAATATTCGAATTTTTTGAATAATTAGGAACAAAGTTTAATAAATATTCAGACAATGTAGGTATGGCTGTTTTAAAATGTGATAATACATTCTTTAAATTTTTTATTTTTCATTATTTTTTTCAACAACGATCATATTATGAAACATTTAATATTATTAATTACAAGTTATTAAAAATTTTGTAACTAGAAACCATAACATTTTTAACCGCAAAAATTTCCGGTAGAAATGTTTGTTCATGTCAATGTTACATCCATGATATGGATACAAAATATTAGTTTATATAAACTTTATATAATTTGAGGAGTCTTTCCAGTTTATTAGTAAGAGCTTTGGCCTTGAAGAGTCCTAAGATCACTATCCACCTCCTAGAACAACCTGATATCAAGTACTAATAAATGGTATTGGTTTTTACTTGAAAATATAGATTTTAAATATAATTAAAAGTAAAAATAACCTTTCTCCGGCATTCTTGCATAAAATAAATATGTATACATACAGATGCTGAGCATCAGAATTAAAGAAATTTTATTAACAAACATAGATAGGCCGACCGTTGGGTTGCCATCTAAAACGCCAAGTATTTAAGAGTAGTATAATCAAGACAGTTCATAAGACTGTATTCTGCAGCTCGTTCTCTAGAGATTTGCAGATATAAACAAAATTTATAAATAATGTGTGCAATTAATAATTGATAATTGATAAATTATAAAATCCTATATAAAACCTTTAAAAGAGAAGTTTAAAATAAATATATATGCTTGCAAATGCTAGACATCAGATTTAAACAAATTTTAATAACAAACATAGATAGGCCCACCGTTGGGTTGCTATCTAAAACACCAATTAGTTAAGAGTGGTATTATCACAACAGCTCATAACACTCTTTTCTGCAGCTCGTTCTCTATAGATTTGCAGACATAAACAAAATTTATAAATAATGGGTGTAATTTATATTTGATGATTGATAAATTATAAAACCCCACGCAAAACCTTTATAAGAAAAGTTTCAGCTTATTCCAAGAACCTAAAACATGATCAAATTTATTACCATTTTCTTCCAGGTGCGTGCAACTATGTCTTGAAATACTTAAATTTTTCAGCAAAATATGGTATCTAGATAATTAAATTGTTACCTTATATATATAATTTTTTTCTGTAATGATGTATGTGAATATACTTTTCTCAAACTTTTTTATTGATTTTTGATTTTTTTAGGATTGTATGTGATTATAAAAATTTAGTAATATTGTAGAAATGTTTGAATTTGAAATTATTTGAGACATTGTTTGGCATTGAAAACAAATGAATAGTCATCAGCCAAAAATTTTAATTTACTTATGAGCCATATTAGAATATGTATAATAAATTCACGATTATGAATAAGAAAAATAAAATTAAATAATTAAAAATAATTAAAATAATATAAAATACATATATACAGTATATGTATGACATATTGAATGATACACATATGAAGAGGATTTGACAAATTAATTCACTTAGAATGTGAAATTAAGTAATAATCAGGGACGGTCCTACCCCTAGACAATATTAGAATACCCCGTGTTCATCCTTGAAAGCGATACATGCAAAAAATGCGAGCGCACGCCTTAGGGGGCGCCAACACAAGATTCGGATATGAATTTTTTAATATAGTTTTTTTTTAATATCATTGAAGAAATATATAATTTCTTTGCATCATTTACTAATCTTTGCAAAATATTTTCAAAATACGTTAAAAATTTCACTTTAAAACAGCGAATGGAAAGTAAATATGAATACATACAATTCGGCCCTTACGATATCAATTAGGAGAAGTTAAAGATGCAATTTTGGATATCTTAAATAAAATTAAATTAAAATAATCCAACATGTAGTACCAGTGTTATGTTATGGTTATGTTCAATAATGATAGGCTAGAATTTTTTTGCTCTCTATGATTTGCTCAATAGAATAAAAGACAAAATGTCCATAATTCAAGAAATATAATATAATATAAATTCTTTACATCTTTTGCTAATCTTTACACAATATTTTAAAAGTACGTTAAAAATTTTACTTTTAAACAACAAATGGAAAAGTAAAGATGAATACATATGATTCAGCCCTTACGATATCAATTAGGAGAAATTAAAGATGCAATTTTGGATATTTTAAATAAAGAAAATTAAATTAAAATAATTCTAAAGAACTACTGTTATGTTTAATAATGAAAGGCTAGAATTTTTTTGCTCTCTATGATTTGCTCAATAAAATAAATCGTATAAAATGACCAAAATAAATAAGTAAAATTTTTGAAAAACCAAGTATTAATTAATGATAATAATAAACTGTTAAAACAGGTAAAATAATAGGAGGGGGGCGCTAGAAAAAAATTCTCCTGAGGACCCCAGGAACGTCCCTGATCATAATGTATATTAAATCATTACTAAGAAAATGTAATTTAAATATTATAATTATTAAAAACCAGTTAAAATATATAATACGACATTATAAAGAATATAGGCAACTTTATTCGAGCAATTATTTTGGGTGGAAAAATCCAAAATAATATTGTGCTTTTACCGCGGATACATTGTAGATGTGGGTACAGGACGTCTGTCGGGTCATCTAGTATATATATATAGAAACATTGTCAGAAGAATTGTTATCATTAAGTATCCGCTAAGCAATTGTTTACTTATCTTCATTCAATTGCAACCTGATAAATGATTTATTTCTATTGTGCTGGTGGGACAATTCAAAGATGTTTTCGAAACGTGTGCAAATATTTATTGGAACCGTGTGCAAAATTTGTACACTGTAAAATATTCTCTTTTTCTTATAGGGTAAATTATTGACATTACCGAAAAATAATTTTCGGTTTTATTTTTACTTTAGAAAATTCTCTGAAATTTTGGTACGTCTTAGTACACGGCTATAATTAGTTATTAATTAGATCCATACATGATGCCTGTTTTTCAGAGAAAGGATGAACCGATTTGGATAATTCTAATATGATTTTAATTATACTATATTTTGGATTTAATGGCATTCTTATAAGATTCACATTAAAAATTTCCTTTTATTTTACTTCTAAATTTCATTTAAATTAAATTTGCGAACGAAAACCATAAGTTTTATTCTATTTTAATTAGATTATGCTTCCCTGTCTAACAGGTCTAAGGTGACATTCCTTCCAGGGCAATTAAGGAGTATTTAATGAGACCACATCGCAGAGCTCAGCAGATTCTTTTGAGAATCTATAGTCAAGCTAATAAATAGCATTCTTTCATGTCGAATACGATCGGTAGATCTGCAAAACACATTGCAAACTATTTTAATAATTGATTGATTGAATCATGATTCGAATTTATAATATCTAATGTTCAAAGATATATAATAACCATGTATACTTAAACACCAAGCTGAATTCCAATTTTCTTTCCGTTTGTAGATGACTACCTATGTTTTCATTTTAATAAAAGTTTCATTTAATATTTTTTTATTCAAAAGTTATAAATTTTGTGAACTTCGTAACTTGTATTTTCTCTTAGGGCTAGGTTATGTGTTCTGCTGAACTATAATTATAAGAAATACTGTTCTAATATTTAGTCAGATAAAATATCAGTTTTAATTGCAACCTGATATCGAACAGTACGATATCTATTCCCATTTGATATATGTTTCCAAGTGAAAAAATAGATAAATATCAATTGATTTCCTATTCTCATCAAATACTCAAGGTGCCCTAATAGATTTAATTAATACCATCAGTCAGAACCTTGAGGAAATGATGCATACAGCCGCAATTTTGATTGATTTACAAAAGATTTTTGACACAGTGGATCATGGCATATTATTTAAAAACCTAATTGATTTAGGTGTAGAGGATTTGTCTTACAGCATTAAGATTTCCTCATGCAAAGGGTGGTAAGGACGAAGGTGGGAAATCTCACAAGTGGAAGATGTAGCATAAACTGTAGAGTCCTACAAGGTTCTGTATTAGGACCTTTATTATATCTATTATACACCGATAATCTTAAAGGCGGAAAACTAAAGGGAAGATACATATTATATGCAGACGATATTGCCATAGTATAGGCAGACAAGGATAAAAAAAGACTCGAAGATACTATAAACACGGATATGAAAATGTACTTCGAGTAGCACTGAAAACAGTACTGAAAATAAACTAACAATTAACATCGATAAAACAAAATACAGATATTTTAAACAAATACAAAATACCGGGAACACTAAACTAAATATTAAAGACAATAATACAGAAATAGAAAAAGTGGAAAGCATAAAATACTTAGGACTGATAATAAATGAAAAACTGATATGGACAGAACATATAAACAAAATAGTAAGAAAGATTGGAGCACTAACAGGGGCTTTGAAAAGGATCTACTCTTTCGGTAACATAAATGAGATATTAATTTTTAAAACGCAAATAATATCTATAATTTTATATGAACTAACACCATGGAGCCAAACAACTAATGCTAACCTAAATGACATACAGAGAATAATGAATAAAGATATAAAAATAGCATATAATTTTCCACATTTACTACCCACCAAATACTTACAGACAGAAACAAATAATCATTCACTAAATAACATAATTAAAATAGAGAAATGCAAATTATTACACAAAATGAAATATAACAGAATTAAAAAAAGTATAACAATAAAGATAAATCAATATATACATGAACACTACACTAGACAACACAAAAATTGTCACATTGAACATAATAGAAAGAAGAAATTGAGAGGAAATGTCATATGGAGCGCAAGTAAAATATATAATGATTTTCCAGACATTGCTTAAAAAATATGAGATTAATTATGATTTTTATATATATACTAGCTGACCCGGCAAACGTTGTTTTGCTAAATAGGGTATATTCTAAACCATTTCTAGAGAATCAAAAATATTAATACTTTAAGTGCATTAGGATGTGTTGTTTGAATGCTGTATACAATTAGGTATTATAAAAACAATAAACCCCATTAGTTTGTCTATATTTTGTCAATACAATCAAACTGCAAGTTTTATACACTTTCTATAGAAAACATCGTATAATCCAATCCGAGTCCTTTTTGGTCTTTCAGCTTATTAATTACGTTTCAAGTTTTTCAGATTCTTTTTGGATTCTGGATTTTGTGTATAATTGTAAATAATACTACTGAGCTTATACAAAATTTTCAAGATTTTGCGAGGAGAGTTAAAAAATGAATTAAGTATTTCTTCTTTGACCTGCTTTTTGAAAAGTTTCAAGTTACATTCGATGAATTAAAGTAAATTTAATAAAAAGTATATATGTAGTGCAGGGCGAAACACAAAGGTCCAATTTGACTTTGAGCAAATATAAACTATATTGTGAAAACCATAACAATTATATCACAACAAATAACACATATCAAACGAACAATTATCTGAGTACGTTAAGTAAACTGACTTCTACTTCATCATTGTAGAAATGTGCTTGTTTAATGTCTTCCAAAAATTTGTTATCTAGACCTTTTTATCCTATATGCGGGGTAACTTGTAACGGGCAGATGGCAAAAGGTTTAAAGCCTTATTATAATTTTAAAGGTATTTTACAAAATAATTACATTTTTAACTAATGCTAAAACTACCAACGGAAGAAAATACTTTTATTATGGATTTTCAAAGATTACCGTTTATCTCCCCCATTTCAAAGATTATCGTTTTCAAATCAAGTTTGTAGCTGGCTATACATATTTTTTCCTCTACTTTCAAATATTGTTGTCAAACAATGCTTAACTTTACTGATTTTTGGCACATCAGTGGTGGACCTTTTTAATCCCGGACCTTCATATATTACTATCTATTCTGCGATAAATTCTGGGAAATTATAACTGGAAAAATGTTATTCGACAAAATGTCTATTTGATCGATACCAAATTTAGGTTCTGAATTCAAATAAGATAAATAAAAAATAATATAACCTAGAAAATGTTTTATAAATACCAATGAGTATATAATTATACAAATGAGATCTTTCAGAGCACCGTGTTTGAGAAAAATATGCCAAAAAGTGCATTTTTATATTAAAATATCAAAAAAGTTTTTATTTTGAGTCTCTAGTAACACTTGCGGCCCGTTTACAAACGTTTTTGTATATAAATAAAACTACAAACAAAACTACTTACTACAAATTTATCATAAATAAATAATATTCGCGTAAAACATCCTATTAAACGTAATTGAACATCATCTGTCAGAAGCGTTTGACATTTCACGAAATTGCCACCGTCCATTGTTTTATTTAAATTACGCTTCTACAAAAATTTTCAAATTAAAAATGTAAAGTTTCTACGCGGATTTAAAATAATTTCTCACCTTTTGGACTTTCTCTGGATTGGCACGAATTTTTCAAGACTAAGACTGGCCCATTCGGTTTAGCCGTTTTCGAGTTTTACTCGGACATTTGAAAGAGAGCTCCATTTTTAAATATAAGATATATAATATATATATATATATATATATATATATATATATTATGAATTTTTCGAATATATTTTTAATTTTAATTCTTTTATTCAAATCTATTAAATTTAGTTAATAGTTGAGTTACCATATAAGCACTGCGTTGAAGAAGAATTTTGAGCTCACGTTCAAGGGACAAAATTACTGTAGAAACTTATTATATGTTATATAAATTATGAAGATCGATTCATTTTGCAGCGCAATTTTGTGGGAAAATTTGGAGCTAATTGTGACAGGGGCAAGATGTAACAGGCTTTCCAACAGGATCTGGAACGATATTAAATTTTCTAATTATGTAATCGTCCTGCATGCATAGCTACTATACTGCAGGTGTGTTGGCATGCAGTGTCGGTAAGCAGAAGTGTGCAGGTCCGTCAATTTTTATAGGTATCATAAAATGTCGGTTTGCGTTATTATAATCAAAAATTTTATATGTCTCATTAAATTCCCGTAGGATAAGTTATAGTAATGGGCCGAAAATCGAATTGAAATTTTTAGCACATCTTCACGTTTTATGGGTTTCTGAACATTTTGGCATACCTCAGAAAAAATGGATGCGTGTATGTTTTGTGTCCGCATTTTTTCGTTCACGTTTTCGGGCGCACGGATCAACCGATTTGAATGGTTCAAAAAACATTTAATTCATATTGATAGGAAAATGTGCTGACTAGTTTTTGGCAAAGGCAGGTCTAGCCATTTCGAAGATACAGAGTTAAATAAAAAAAACTGCAGTTTTTGAGAGAACTAAGCATCCGATTTGAATGGTTCAAAAAACATTCTGCTTGCTTTTACAAAATAATTGTTTTCATTTTTTTTTTAAAGAAATTTTCTTTTAGTTAATCGAAAATAATTAGAATTTTAATTTTAATGCTTGCTAAAATTCTAAAGCTCACTTATATTCCTTAAATGAATAATTTTAACTTTCTAATTCAGTTTATATAATTCTTATAAATAAATATTAGACAATGTTACAGTATTTATAATAATCTATTTGAAAACATTAAATACTCTTCGAACATTTGCCTTAAGGCACGATGTCATACACCACTTGTTAACTTCCCGTAGGGTAAGTTATTGTAATGGTCCAAAAATCGAAATTGAACATTTTTACATTTCTCGACGTTTTGAAGGTTTCTGAACATTGTGGCATACCTCAGAAAAAATGGATGTGTGTGTGTGTATGTATGTATGGATACAAATTTCCAGTCACGTTTTCGGGCGCACGGATTAATCGATTTGAATGGTTCAAAAAACATTCGATTCCTATTGATAGGGAGAAGAGCTGATTAGTTTTTGGCAAAGGCAGGTCCAGCAGTTACGGAGATAAAGAGCAAAGAGTGCGGAAAATAGATATCGAGTTTTTGAGAGAACGGAGCATTCTATTTGAATGTTCTAAAAAACAGTCAATGAGTAATGATTGGCAGAAGTGTTTATCAGATTTTGGCAAAGGCAGGCCCTGCCATTTCAAAGATACGGAGCTATATGTGCAAAAAATGGCAGTTTTTGAGAGTCCTAAGCGTCCGATTTAAATGATTCAAAGAACTTTCTGCTTGTCTTAACAAAATAATTGATTTTGAAAAAAAAATTTTTGTCTCAACTTTTTTTTTCAATTTTTTTTTCAAAAAAAAATTTTTTTGTATATCGAAAATAATTCAGATTTTATTTTTAATTATCATATTATCTAACTAAAGTTCTAATATACTTTGAACAAATAATTTCAACTTTGCAATTCAGTTTATGTAATTCTTATAAATATTAGACAATCTATTTCAAAACATTCAGTATTCCTCGAACATTCCGTTACGGTATGGGAAGTTCCAGCAATTTGCCTTAAGGCACGATGCCATACACCCCACTAGTTTTGTTTTAAATTTATCAATCTTAGATACAGAATATAATGAATGATTTAAAAAACTACTACGTTGAATTCTTAAAGCGCGAGTAAACCACCCACATTATATATACCCATAGTAAATTTGGTGCACCCATAGACATTACACTATAAGGTCTATGGGTACACCGGAAATTTTTGATATGATTACAAATCAAATTTTTTGATACTATATTTATCAAAACATTTGAATATATATATAGTTGTTTTGACAACTTAAACTCAAATTAATGATTTTCTTTATATTTTGACCAAAACGACGGATGTAGTGTTATAGTGGTTGTTCAAGACGAGATCATCAGGATAACAAAGCTGGAGTTGTTGAAAAATTCATAAAGTTTCATGAAATACGAATTTATATTCGATTGGATAAAACACAAGTTTCATAAAAGGAATAACCAAAAAATTACTACATATTTTAGTTTGATATAAAGATGCATGGTTACGAAATGTAATAATACTGAAAACGCACCATATTAAAAATATTATTGTCAGTTGTGGTACAAGGTATATTATATAAAACTCATATTTTGGTTGATTATCAACCAAAATTAATATATTAATGCGCCGGTTTAGCACGTATGTGCAAGTACCATTAAGTAGCATAAAAGAACTAAGGGGCACGAATATATTCATCAGACACAGAGAAAGTGTGGAAAAACTACTAAATAACATATTTCGTGATGGAGCCAAACATTTGCATGTGATCACGGATTATGACTTCACGATCACGAAGCATACACTCGATAATGGCGAACCAACTCCATCCAGCTTCGAACTATTCAAAAATTGCCCCAGCGTTCCTGAAGATTACAGAACCATGACACATAAATTTAAAAAGATTTATAAAAAAGCAGAGTTGGACACATCGCTTCCTAAACAACTCAGAGAAAAATACATGCGTGATTGGTGGACAAAAGCTTCTAACATTACGAAAGGGTTTCCTTTTCATGAACAAGAATTATTGGATATGGCGGAAAGGTATAAATATTCCTTAAGGGATAATGTGGAAGACATGTTTAAAACTTTGCATGACAGAATGATTCCTTGTTTAATATTTTCAGCTGGACTGGGAAATACCGTTCATGCAATGCTAAAAGTAGCAAAAATCAATTATAAGAATATAATTATCATATCAAATTTTTTAAAAATTACAAACGGTTTGGTCGATGGTTTTGCTCCTCAGTTAATACATGCAACGAATAAAAATGAATCATTATTGAAAAATACGGAACATTATAAATTGTTGGAAGGACGTGCAAACGTTATTCTTATGGGAGATACTTTAACAGATATTGAGATGGCTGAAGGAATGAAACATAACAATGTATTGAAAATTGGTTTTATTCCAAACGCCATAGCTAAAGAGAATTTATGTGAATTTGTTAAGGCTTATGATATTATTTTGGTTGATCATAGTTCCATGAAAGTACCAAATGCAATACTTTATCTATGTAAATAATACATGAAATATAATTTATAGGAACTTGCAAATAATTTTTAATTTAAAGTACCATAGAGTGCTCATTCTATAAAGGTTGCTTTATTTATTTGATGTTTTTGTATTGTAATTCATAATGGAAATATTAACTTCCCGAAGAAGAAGTTTAAGTTTTCAGGTAAAAATCCGATTTGCTAGTTTTATGTTTGTTTTCACGACGTTTCTGAATCAAATGGGATCAAATTAGAAAAATTATGTGTGTGTGTGTGTGTATGTTAGCCGATTTTTGACCTGTCGTCAACGTTTTATAATAAACGGCTAAATTGATTTCAAAAATTTTAAATCCATTCTACGTAGCTCGATAAGTGCTAGCGTTTGTCAGTTATTGCAATGACCGGTCAAGTCATTACTTAACAGAAAAGTGTAAAAAAATTAGACAATTTTGAGACCACAATTTTGAATCGATTGCTTATTTTTGACTTTGTTACACGTGTATAGTCATATACATTCTACAAGTTAAATTTACAATTTTATTTTATTAGATTGTATATTTATATAGCGCACCATATATTCTTTTTTTTGTCAGCAATGTTATAAAATGATGTGGGAGGGAGATTTTTTATCATACTAGCTCCCTCCATAGTTCTTGCCTACCCTTTTCCTATTTTTTGCACTCCATAATGGCGTGCTTTTATTCCGCCTTAGTCACTCCACATAAGCAATAGCAATTATTATTGGTTGGGAATCGCGTTGATTAATGTTGGATAAAAATCGTTTGGGCCGTTTCTTCGTAAATAAATGTTGAATAATTGTTTTTGACGATATTGTTGAAACTTTGTATGATGATAGATAGCTATAATATAATAATTTCTTGAATAGTACAGCACTCTGGCTACGTTTTAAATCCGACATGGCATTTGATAGAGCTGTGGAAAAAATGGAAGAGATTAAAAGCCATTTCCCAAAATTTCCATTTAATAAGATATTGTTTTTTTATGGTGAGTTGAAATTAACATTTTATAATAATAATTTATATAGATGATTACATAAAACAAGATTGAGACAAAGGGAAGCAGAGTTGCACTCAGATGTTGGTTTTGAGTATGATAATCCTCAGCAGGGGAGAGATTGGGCAAAAGTATAACACTCATCCTTAGATCAGTGTAATGGTGACCACCCGTTTCTCATTTTGTTTCGTGGGCAAGCTGCAGCAAACAGGTAGAAAGCGGGTAGATATTAACAATGGTAATTAAAGCTTTCTATATACTACATGGTATTTAAAATATTATGTTACTATGTAGTACTAATATATATTTTTTTATAATGCTGATATTTCTATCCTGCCAGCTTATTCGCCACCCATGCATCATTTTGTTGCAAAAGCAGGCTGTAACAGCACACAGATTGAAAGAAGGGGTGAAGATGTTAACAATGGTAATTAAAGCTTTCTGTGTACTGCATGCTATCTGAAATATTATGTTACTGATACAAATATATTTTTTATAATGCTGACATTTCTACCCAGCCGGCTTCTCTTTTAGTTTCTCGAGTGTTTCTGAAAGAGAAAAGGGTGCGGTTGTTAAGCATTGAGAGTGTCCTCGACCATATGAAGGAGTTGGGTTTTAGGCCAATGACATCGGCCCAATTGAAGATCTGTTGCTATGCTTTCCACTACGTTCTTTGGAGAACTTTGAACATGTGAGGCTATTTTTTTTAACAAAGATGTGAAAACACAATTGGTAATTACAAGTTTACATGAATTTATTTTTATTAATTACCTTTACTATAAACTAAACCAAAATTTTTTAGATTCTGTATTTAGCACGGACAGGCGGAAAAAGTGCCAAATCCGTCACAGTCCAGCTGCTAAAAACCATTTTTGATGATGGTTTGGCCAAAGAATTTAGCTGGGCAAAAGGAAAAGGCAAAAACAAATTTTGTGAACTTGTGCTCTGCGATGTCATTACAGGTAATTTATAAATCTATATTTATGCTATATTATAAACTATGAATAAAACTAGTATATAAAAAATTCCAGAAACCGTTCTGGATAATTTGCCGCATGAGACAAAGTTTGCTGTTTCAGAGGCATCAAAAAGCTGGCTGCTCCAATGAACGTTGTATTTTGTATATTTCATCTAAAAAGTAAAAAAAATCTAACATAATTAAATCCTATCCGACACGGATGCTACATTCTAACTAACATTCAGGATAAGTGCTTTGTCCTTAGGATTATAGCACCGACAATGGCTGCTTGTAGATATCCTGCAGACATTTGTCAGGACATCTTCTGCCGTTTAGAATTTAGCCGTGCGCTAAGGGATTCTAATCAGAATCTATGCCAAATCCGTTATAAGAATAACACTGACCTTCTAAGAAAATAATTACAAGCCCAAATAAAATGTAATTATTTATTTTCACTAATAAATTATACGAATTGCACAAATTATATATTTAAGTTGACAGTGTACATATTTTACAATTAGTGCCGTGTGCAAATATAAATATATAAGAACAAGTTTATCAATTTTAAAGTATTATTGTCTGGAGTCAAAAAGATTTTGTGATATATGAATACCATTGCGATATGGTATTAAGTGCATATATGAAACTGATAACTAATCTATTTGAATTTTTTTATTGTTCATAATGTTTTAATTTGTTGCTATGTAGGTATCTACTGAGTATACTGATGTTACTTGTTTGAAGCCAGTAAACTTCTTATCACAGATATGTTTTTTTATACAGCAAGGAATAAATCAATTAATCGACATATGAATCTTAATATTGAATTGTAATTCTGCAGAATATATCTTTATGGTCCTTGTTTTTTAGATTAATTAATGTAAGTAAAGAAATTTTATCATTTTAATACATATGTGTATTGTTACTTCTAAAATTCAGAGATAAGATATTCAAAGTTTTCTAATTAATTAATTAGTAATTTAAATTACTATAATTTTTCAATAGTATTTAAATGATTTTAATTTTTATGAAAAATAAGTATTAGAAAGTTTAAACATTACACTAAATGTATATATTGTCGGTTGAAGATGTTGATAACCAACCAACTCAATACAAGAGTTGCAGTTTAATGTTGCTCGCGCTAAAGAATTCATTTGAGGTTTTTAAATTTTCAGCTTCTGTGTAAAATTTATTAACCTTAATTATTTCCTGCCCATGTGCATCTTTCAAACATTTTGCAAACAATATTTCTTGGAAAACTTTCACGAGTATTCCCGTTATGAATTTAAATTGCCAAGATTTCTTCAACTTTTGATTTGTACTACCTCTAAAAATAAACAATATTTTGGGTAATATAAGAAAAATCTAAAGGCTTTCGAATGATACTAATTAAAAATTATTTTAAATTATATCGATAATTCTTACGGTTTAGAAAAAGTACATAGAAAAGTGAGTTTTCGCATATTTTCAATGATATCTCGGCCAACTAATGAAAAATGGCATATCGAATTCTTTAACTTCCCGAAGAAGAAGTTTGTGTTTTCATCAAAAAATCCGATTCGCTAATTTTATGTTTTCTCGACGTTTCAAGCCATTCTGAATCAAATGAGACCTAGTTTGGAAAAAATATGTGTGTGTGTGTTTGTGTGTGATCGGATTTTTTACCGTAAATCGACGTTTTCTCAAAAAACGGCTGGACCGATTTCAAAAATTTAAAAGCCATTTGATGTATCTTAATCTTAAGATTAATGAGGACTATCGTAAGTTTTGTGCGACAATCTGCCGAGCCGTTTTTGTAATTTGAAAAAAAAGTGTTAAATTTTCGTCTGCGTTTAAACTCATATTCCAAATCGATTTTAAAAAATCAAAAACTGTTTGAAAGATATTAGTTGTGAATGATACTGATTAGTTTTAGGTAAAAATCTACCGAGTATTTTTCTTGTATCATAGTCTTATAGAACTTACTGAAATATTACACAAGTACAAGTAGTTTAATTTAAGTTTGACAAAATGAGTGTTTTTTTGATCTTATTAAACAAAATAATGGTCTTAATGATCTTATTAAACAAAAAAAGTCCTACGGAAATTGGTTCAATTATAAAAATGATTGATTTTTGAAAATTTCCTTTTAGAAAATACTCTGAGATAACGTGTTCGATCGTTTTCGATGTGTAATAAATCCAGTCGGAATACTTTAATCACTCATAAATTAATTTATTTTTTATTGATTAACTCGATCATTTACACATATCCGGACATATCATGTAACTTACCTCAAGGCAAAATACCAATACCAAGTAGTTCATGAATCATGATTAATATTTATTTTAACTGAATATCTTTCGAAATTTGAAATAACCGCTCGAATTCAAAATATTTTAAAAGCATAGATGAAACATAATTCAAAAGTAGAGAGCATGGGGATTGTAAATTCGCTGTGACGATGCGGCAGCCTGACATATTAACAATGTGATATTTTATTTTAAATCAATTTGATTATACAACATTTAGATGCCTATTAAATTATATAAATAAAAATTCAATAAAAAATAATAAAATTCACCTGTCACAAAAATGCGGCAACATAATTTCTTTCAGAAGTGATCCTCTCGAAATATGCTTTGTTTAACATCTCTGGCGTAGGTTATGGCGAAATGTCTATAAACATCAAATATTTAAAATGACCAAGTTTTTATCAATTTTTTCTACTTTTTATACTAGAGATTAAATATATTTTTATAGTAGTTTTTAATGTTTTACAATTTTATATAATTTTCCAAGATGACTAAAGGAATAATTAGTTTTAGTGAAAGAATTGATGTAAGCATCGTTCCGATGGCCGTTAAAACACTTGTTGATGTCAAACTATGTGTTGATGTGTTTGAGTTTTTCTCATATAATTCTATTATTTAAAGAATATTATGTTTGTAGGATTACGATATAGCGAAAGAGCCTCTTGGTAAAGGTGGTTTTGCAACAGTATATAAAGCAAGATGTCGACAAACAGGAATAGAAGTTGCTATCAAAATGGTAATTAACATTTAGTATTTGATGTCCCATATGCTGTTTTCTGTCTCGATTATAATATTAGTTATTACCCATTTTATTGCCATATCAATATTATATTTATTATATTATTTTAATTATATTTAGCATATATAAATCAACATTATTTCAATAAAAATATTTTATTAATCTTTCTACAACGTACTTCCTAGAATTCTTTCTAATGGAATGATTATTTTGAACCTTGTCAAAGTGTCATTATTTCAATTTTATTTATTACAATTCAAATTTTAGATAAACAGAAGATTAACAGAAGAAGCGGGTATGGTTGAACGTGTTCGAGAAGAAATTAAAATTCATACTCGCTTGAAACATCCTGCTATTATTGAGTTGTATACATTTTTTGAAGATTCACAGTATGTTTATCTTGTACTCGAACTAGCTCAGAATGGAGAATTACAGAGATATTTTAAGAAAAATAATATGGTACAGCAGTAAATTTGTAAATCATTTTGATATATATATATATATATATATATATATATATATATATATTATAGTTATATATTAGTTATAGTTGTATTTGCATTTTGAACAAGAAACCTAAATGAAAATAAAAAGGTTTCTTGAAAGTTAGTATTTATTTTAAATATTTCGGAATTAGCTATTATCCATTTTTAGGCTTATTGTCTAGAATAAGATATTTTAATATTATAATGAAAAAATATAATAAAAACATAATTTAAAAAATTCTAGAACAATGAATAATAAACTTTAAATTATAGTGTAAGATGTTACTTGTTTTTAAATAGTTTTTTTAACTTTCAATCAAATCAAAAATGAAATTTATTTATTATTAAATGTCTAATAAATATAAGTAAAATAATAAGTAAAATTTGCATAAATAAGTAGAATCTTGATGAAATAACAAATTCATTATTAATGAATTTAAGATATATAATAAGACTTTTTTTGCAGGTGATGTCGGATGTTGAAGCATCCCGTATAATGAGACAGGTTGTTGATGGATTGTATTATTTACATTCACAAGGAATTCTTCACAGAGATTTATCTTTATCAAATTTGTTGCTATCCCATGATATGCATGTGGTAATTTTCTGCTTTCTTAACATTTTATATATAATAGGATATCTTTTGCAAGTATTTTACATAATTTTAATCACCCATCTATTTCTAGTTTTCATAGTTTATTTTATTATTTTCCAAAATTATGAAAATAGATTAATATAAGTTACCTTTATATTCTTTCAATAAAATTAAATCTACCAAATGCATTTTTAAAAATGGTATATTTCATGAGTTAATCTTCATAAAAGGAATCAAATTTTAGCTAATATTTATTTTACATGATTCAAATATAATACATTTTACTAGATTCATGAACAGGCTTGGATGCTTAATTCTTTGAAATAAAAACATTTGGTATTAGTTTTCTTGAAATTTCATATCAGCTATATTTTAAATATATTATAGAGATACTGATTTCTTTATTTTAGAAAATTGGAGATTTTGGATTAGCAAAACATGCGAAACCTGATACAACTCAGAAAAATTTTACTATGTGTGGTACACCAAATTATATTTCACCAGAAGTGGCATCTAGAACATCGCATGGGCCAGCAGCAGATATTTGGGGCCTTGGTTGCATGTTGTACACCCTGTTGGTTGGGCGACCGCCTTTCGATACAGAAACAGTCAAAAGTACTCTAACTAAAATTGTTATGGCAGACTATGTTGTAAGTAGAAATATATAATGAATTACTTACATTCTACACACACACACACACATATATATATATATATATATATATATATATATATATACATATATATATATATATATATATATATATATATATATATATTAGGGTGGTCCTTAAAATGGTCATTTTCGAATTTCTTTGCTCCCAGGGTCTCAAATGGTTCCAAATAGATAAAAAACAATTCTCTGAAAGTTTTAGCTCTTAATATTAATGTTTAGATAGAGCGCAATTCAATCAAAGTTTTGTATGGAAATAGCATGGAAAAATTTTCAAAAATTTTAAAAATGTTTTTTAGATGTAATTTAGCAAACAAATGAATGAATAAAACTCATTCATTTGTCGCTAAGTTATACCTAACACATTTTTTTTTAATTTTCAAAATTTTTTCCATGCTCTTTCCATACAAACTTTGACTGAATTGCGCTCTATCTAAACGTTAATATTAAGAGCTAAAACTTTCAGAGAATTGTTTTTTATCTATTTGGAACCATTTGAGCCCCTGGGAGCAAGGAAATTCGAAAATGGCCATTTTAAGGACCACCCTAATATATATATATATATATATATATATATATATATATTTATTCATTTATAACTATATTCACACATAAATAAATATAATGTAGTCAAATTATTTCTATGGTAATGATAAAAAACTGCTTCAATTATTAGTAATATAAAGACAAATATTTTAGTTACAAGAATTGTTCAAACATAATACTCACCTTTTTGTTTGAATTTTCAGTTGCCATCACAATTATCATCAGAAGCAAAAGATTTAATTCAAAAGTTATTGAAAAAAAATCCTGTGAATAGGATAACCCTACCTGAGATTATGGTCCATCCTTTTATGACAAAGTCTGTTTCTGCACACAAAGTATTTTCCAAACCATTGACAAAAGATCAGCGTAAGATTTTGCAACAACATCAAAATACTAATTCTTCTTCAAGTCAGGATAGTGGAATGCATACAATGAGCAGTGATGGTTACTCCACAAACAGATATGGGGATTCAACTAAATTTGGAAGTTGTCGGTAAGGACAATAGCACTTGCAGCTTTATTCAATAGTGAATACATTTATTAAATGGTTCTATTTTTTATGAATACATTTCAACATTTAAAGTTGAACAGAAATCTACTCCAACAATAATAATTACCTCTATATTTAATGATGATTTCTTGATTTTTTAGTTAAAATTTTATTGGGTTTTCAAGGCTTATATAATATTTATCAAATCAAGAACTATATTCAAAATAAAATTTCAAAAGAATATATAATATATAATTCTTTATTTGATTTTTAGGTCTCAATCAGAAGAATGTTTAACAATGTCTGAAGCAAAATCAAATATGCTATATCAATCTAATTGCAAGAATGAATATTCTGTAGGTTCTTGTTATGGATCATTAAACAATAATTTTTCATTAAATCGACAAAGCAATTCCTTACACCGAGAATTCATGAAAAATAGCCAACAATCAAATAATAATATGGGATTAGATAGATATGGTTTGGATGCACCAAAACAAACATCTGTACCAGGAAATAAAGTTAAAACGACTCACTCAATTCATCAGAGATATTGCGATTGTGATGACCCAATTTGCAAAACCAGAAGACAAATTTACAATAAACCAGATACAAATGAAGTCAGAGAAGTATTTACTAGACAAAATCCTAGTACTGGTATGAATAAATATGACTTTTGCACTAATAAAAAACAAATTGATCCTGGTGGAATTGCGGCTCTTGGAAAGAAGTTTACTCAAAATGCTATTGTTAGTGAAAGAAAGATAAATATTGGGAATGAAGTAAATTACTTTGGAGAGAACATAAATATTGACAGTTGTATGCAAGGTAATTATTATTTGACAAAATCTACTTATTATTGAATTAATATCATCATATGTCAATAACTAACAGTTCACAAAATGATTATGGAACTCTGTAGAATTATTTTGATTTTCATCTACAGTACTTCCTAACATTATTAATGTTTATTATCTGTTCAGAATAAACTATTAAATTCTCTATACTTATTAGCTTAATGTTATGAGTCTCTAGGATCATAATAAATTACAGTAAAAAATCATTTAACTACCATTTCTGAAACTTGATAATGTATTTCATATAAAATAAATAAATAACAATAAAATTGTAAAACCAAAGTTCCAATGCACAGAACTTTTTTTTTATTTGATTTAATTAATTTGTTTTATCATAATCTAAGGTTTTTTTTAATTATTTTAATTTAGTGAAGATATAAAAGTAATTTTAAATTTTTTTCAAATTTTATGTAAAATTTTGCATTCGTCAGTATTATTTCATTTGTTTGATTACTTCACAAAAAACATCTAAAAATTTGTTGTCAAAAATTACTTTGGTAAAATTTTTAGTTATAATACAAATTTTTATTATTCAGAGACGCCAAGAATTCCTCAAAACAGATTTCGAGCTAAAGATGCTAAACCGAATTGTTTAGAAGGCAAAATGCAGCATTATAAGCAACATAAACACTCTAGTGAGCAAGCAATTGCTTATAATAATGCACAGCCTGTTCGTGGTGAGTGTAAAATATATTTGAAACTAGTTGTAAGTAGCATTTTGCTATTAAGAGAAGTTGCATGAACCTTTCAATATGCTTAATAAAATTTGATTAATTTGGAGATCTATGATGGGAGAAACTATTGCTGATTATTCAATTTTGAACCATTTTTTCTTAATAAACATTATTGAAAAATTAACACATATCTTATCCATGGGCTTTTTTTAAAATACTAGGGTCGATTAATCCAAATTTTAATTAATTTTTATAATTAATTCCCTTTTTTCTATAGGGTCACTATAATATTTTAGTATGTTCATTAAAGTCAGTCTATCGTTTCATTAAATTCGCCGAAAAAAAAAATTTTAAATCAATTACAAGGAAGCGACTTTAATGATTTTTGTCAAAAACTAATCAGCACGATCTAAAAATGATATCTTTCAAATAATTTTTGATATTTCAAAATCGGATCAGAATTTTTGGCTAAAACGTGGACGATATAATTTGCTATTAAAAAACGGCAAGGCCGATCGTCGCGGAAATATAACCAACGTGTGTCCATACTGCGTTTTATCGAATTTATTGGCTTATAAATTTTGTGTAGTCGGTAAAGCTGTTTTTGAGAAAACATCGATGAAAGTTTTAGTTATGGATTACATACACAGACACAAATACTTTGCCTCATTTTGGTTTCAAACGATTCAGAATGACTTGAAATGTCGAAAAAAAAAACTTAGCAAATCGGATTTTCTTGCGAAAACAAACTTCTACTTCGGGAAGTTAATTATTATGAGTTATTGCAATTTGTAAACATTTTTGGTATTTGTAAATATTATAAAAATGCATATTTAAGGATTAATAATTAAAATTTATATCTCATTTTACGCCAAGTCTCATTTTTGTAATTTATGTTAATGTTTAAAACCTTCAAATTATATTTAGAATTATTATTTTATTACAGGTTACGAATCTGAACAACATATGTTAAATGTTGACTGTAACAGTATCGGTACTGTTCCATCAAGTACCACCCAAGGCTATGAATCTCAACAAGACCAACACAACTTCAATAGAGATTGTGGTATGACTCCTGGTGCTACAAGTTCCAATGAAAATTTTTCTGAAGGTAAATTATATTATTATATTATTTATTTTTTGGTATAATGTATGTTGTGCCTAAAAGAATTATTTCTATAGATTTATGTACTTGCTTCTGTAAAAATTAATATGTGAGGTTGATTCTTATTGATACTCGATACAACATATTGACCTATTATATTTAACAATTACTTTGACCCTATTGTAAATGTTTCTACACTTTATTTTAAGTATTTAAGGGTGCTCTTTACTTGCGGACATCAAATGATATTTAAATATCTCAAATACACCTAAGTCTGTTTTTACAAGGAGATTGGTTCCAGAAGAATCCGTGTAAAAAAAAAACGTGTAAAAAAAGACATTGATCTTATACAAAAATGGGTGATTTGTTCCTAATCTCTAAAACCTATTAAAATTGGTGAAAAACAAGAATTTTTAAGAACAAGAATTAAATTAGTGCTATTCACATTTGCTTTGACTAGTAAAAATTGTTTGTACGCGCTAAAGGGGAATTCACTTAAATCTTTAAGCTAGTGTTCGCAAACTATCGATACTATCGATGGTTTCAGACTTTTTTCTTTCATAAATACTTTTTTGTGATATGAACATACTTCGCAAGAATTTAATTTGACAAAAAAAATTTAGGTACATAAAATTTCAAATCGTGCTAAATGGAATAAATTCGTGTAAAAAAATTAAAAATATTCAATTTTCAAACCGTGTTATATCAAAACCGTGTACAAAAAGACCGTGTAAAAACAGACTTAGGTGTATATTAACATGTTAGTTACCTTTTTTTCATATGATCTATTTCTAAATCAACTGATAAACAGCATGACATATAGTGAATAGGCATCTAATTAATTAATAGCACCAATATCATTTACAAATACATTATAATGGATATGTATGTACTTGATAAATTTAATTTGTTTGTTTGTTATTTATCAATTAGTTTTCTATAAAATTGATTTTTTTTACAGACGATTATCCATTTAATGAAAGAATTGGTGTGCCACCTTTAAATACAATACGATTACAGGCGACAAGGCATAGAACAAAAAATGCCATACTTAGTATCATAACTACAGGTATATCCTATTCTATAATTTTATTTATTATTATAATACCAAAATTATACATATCTCTAAACCGTGTTTTAGGAGAAGTTGTAATTGAGTTCATTAAAAAAAGAGGTCGCACTAAAGAGGAAAAAGTTACTGATGTTTGTAGGATTTCTGATGATGGACTTCGAGTGGTTTTGTATCAACCTGATGAAGGAAGGTACGTTAAATATGAGTATGATATTAATTTGGATGAAAAATAATTAAAATTGGCATTTGTTATTTGAATAAGTTAAAATTACTTTTTAAAAACTAACTGCATATGATTTCATCAATATTTTTAGAAGATTTTCAGTTGCTTAAGTAAGTGCCTTTATTGCTATAAAATAGAAGATATTTAAGTTGAGTGCTAATAAAAATTAAGGTATTATTTATCTTAATTTTTTTTTTATTATCAGTGTAAATGCATTAAGATATTCACTTTAAAATCATAGGTTATTCTTAAAAAGAAAAATAAGTTTTAGTTACACTTCCTATTTCTCTGTTTAGTTGAGGTTTGTACTTATACTATTATGTTGGAATTTATAATGATTATTGTTATTATGTAGTTGTGAAAATTAAATTTCAAATTACTATTACTCAGTTGATCACCATCTCAAAGATAGTTTAAATGACTTTCTTTCAATTCAATGACTTATATTTGATTTCCATTCGATGAACTTTATAAACACCCACATTAGTTAGTTTTTTTGTAAGAATTATAGCCATAAACTTTTAGAAAACTAATGCTATTTTTGTTGCCATAATTCATTTCAAAATAAAACTTGAAATCCAGAATAATTACGCTTAAAAACTGATTTTGCAAAATAAATGTAGGAGACTTTGTAAAATGTGAAAGAATTAGCATTTACAATATTTTAATATTCTTCAATATAATTAAGTTGAAATATTTTAGAGGTGTACGTGTTTCTTCTGAGCCTCCGCCTTTGCCTTCTTCTGGTACTGATTCTTTGTTTGGTTATGAAACTCTACCTGATCAGCATTGTCGTAAATATCTTTATGCAGTTCGATTTATCAATCTTGTTAAGGCTAAAACACCCAAAGTCACATTTTATAGCAGATTGACCAAATTCCAATTAATGGAAACTGGAGCTGATTTTGAGGCTTGCTTCTATGATGGTAAGAATTTATAAAATAATTTTTTAATTATTTAAATCCGAAATTATTATAATGTTTATTTTCTATATTATTCTTGTCTTTTATAGGTAGTAAAATATCTAAAAATGCTGTAGAGGGTATCAAAATTACCATACCGGATCAATGCCCATATTTATGTCCTTATGACCAGACACCAAACTTATCTAATCCTGATATGAGAAACATGTGGGAACACTTTCTTGAAGTAAATAAATTTATGTTAATTTTCAATTTTTGCAAATTTGTTTTAGTTGAATTTTTGAATATCTTGGCCATGAACCTAATTATTGTAAATGGTTTCTTTTAATGGTGTAAAACTATAAAACAAATTGTGGTTTGTGATCATTATTCCTGGTTATTCTAATTCAAAACAATGATATTTTATTCTTTCAATGTTTTCAGTGCATGAAACAGTGTCAGCGTTTGGATTCTCTCTTATCATGGAATAATCCTTGTGGTCAAAATTTTCCAATAGTGGTAGGTAAACGACCACCAGCCAGTACTGATAAATTGGATGCAAATAAAGAAAATTTTCCACATTTGGAGCATAAGGATTTAACTGAATTTGTAAGTATATTTTATTAGTAAGATTATTATTATATCACTTCTTGTAGATTTTTACTTTAATATTCAGCAATATAAAAAAATAATGTATCATTTTTTAAAATAAACTATTACATAACTATTAATAAACAATAAACTATTAATAAACATACATACAATCAGCTTTTGGATGAGTATTTGTAAATGGAATGAGAATGATAAAATATTTCTCATGTGTTTGTGAACCGATTTTTTACCCTTTTGTCAACGTTTTCTCAAAAACGGCTGAACCGATTTAAAAATTTGAACTCCATTCGATGTAACTCGATAAGGATTAGCTTTTTTATCAGTTTTGCGTGACGTTCGGTCATGCCGTTTCTTTAAAATCAGCTGAAAAGTGAAAAATTTATCGTCCGTTTTTATCACGTAATTATGAATTGATTTTAAAATATGTTCGAAAATAGTGGTTAGGAATCATGCCGATTAGTTTTTGGTAAAGATCGGCCGGGCCGATTTCTTGTAATTAAATGTTAAAAAACAATTTTTTGTCGATTTTTATGAAACATTTTTTGGCGATAGATATTATGGTCGTATAAAACATACTAAAATATTACTATTATCTTTCATCGACAATTTTTCTTTTGAAAAAATGGTAAAACCGATATCAAAAATTTAAAAGCCATTCAATGAAACATGATAAGCACTCGCGTTGGTTAGTTTTTTTATGCGACCGGCTCAGCCATTTCTCTAGAATTAGCAGAAAGGTGGGAAATGTTTGGCCATGTTTTAGCCAAATTATGAACCGATTTTGGAAATATAAAATTGTGCTGATTAGTTTTCGAATCGGTTAAAAAATATATTCAAACTTGATTTGCGATTATGTACCAGGTCTTAAATAAAAATTCGAAAATATTACAGTCCTATCAAAAATGGTTTAATTACAAAAATTAATTAAAGGTTGGATTAATAGGCCTCGCTTTAGAAAATACTCTCTGTATGTATTAGGCATGTTCTATTTAGGTGTTAGGAGTTCGTTTTTCAATAATGTGTAATAAATAAAATTGATCTATATTGAATAATCTGCAATAGTTTTTTACATTATAATGCTTTACAGTAACTAGGTATACTTATAAATCACTTGTATATTTATGTATTGATTTCTTATTAAGTTTATTATTTATTAATGTGGGAAATTTCATGCAACTTGCCTTGAGGCAAAATGCCACAAGTAGTTTGAATAAAATTTAATTTTGGCGTAATTTAATTAATTGGTGATGCAATTAATTATTGAATCCTTTATATATATATATATATATATATATATATATATATATAACAATGTACATATTTTATATCTATTACGTTATGTAGGAGTACATTCACTGTGTATTGTAGCAAATGAGAAAAACTAAATTATTACAGACAACGCCTCAGTTTTGTACGACATCATCCACAGTGAGTGCAACCCGTTCTGAGCCTCCAAGTAACTTTGCAATAACTGCCGGTATGTCCAATGTTCGCAATCAAGCTGCAAGAAGAGTACACCCAACTCACACATCTTCTCCTAGAAGCGTACAAGTACCTGGCATAGGCGTAGCAACACAAGTAAGGAATGTTTATATAATTAAATCAGTTAATTCATAATCTATCACCTTTTTCTTAGAGGAAGTGAGTAGTAAACTGTTTTTACAATTGTTACTAATTTATTATACAATAAGATTATGATAATACTTCTGAAAACAGAACTTTCTGTGGAAGTATTTTGATTAAGAATATTTTATGGTTTTGAAATATTTAGTCATATGATACACAAAGAATTATTTAGGAACACAACAAAACATAAAATTTACAATGTTTTTAATCAATTCAGAGCATATAAATTTCTCTTGAATATTAGTTCATTATATGATCTTTCTTTATAAATATAAATGGCTAAGCACAAACAACTCTGACTCAATAAAAGACAATTATTTGTTTATAAAGAAACATGTTAAAATAATAATAATTCAGGATAAAAAAATAATATGTTATAAAAATTAGTTTATTATAACCAAATTTTTAATACTCAATTATCTGATTCTTATTTTAAACAGCTGCTTTCTGGCGAAGTTCAAGTTCAATACAATGATGGTGCTGTTCTAACAGTACCTCCAATATCTCCTGGTGCTGGTATTCATTATGCTGTTGGTGGGTATGCGGCACATTTTAGGCCAGAAGATGATCTACCACCTAAGTTGAGAGAAAGATTAGAAAAAATATCAACTGTTATTGAACATTTGAAAATGGCTCAACCTGCACAGCCGACACAAGCAACTAAACGAAGACCAGGCTTAAGAAATTGATTGCAATACTAATATATAGCTAATATAACTGGGGAGCTTATACTAAATGGTTTGATCTCGTACTATGTTACAAATTTGTTCAGGTTTGGATGCTTATGTATTATCAAATTTTATATTTTTTTATCTCTGAACTGTTTTATTGAACAATTTTTAACTTGAGCATTTTGATGAATTTTATATATGGAAAAATATGCAACAATTATATTATAAGTTTATGTAGAAAAATATACATTGAAAAGAAAATAAAATGTAATAAAGAAATATAATGAAAAGAGAATTCAATTTAGAATTATTAGTAGATTTTGATTTGGAATGTATTTTATATGTTACTAAGTATTAATAATTAAACTTGTTATTGAGTATATTGAACAATTATACATACATTGGAATGTTTTTTAAAAGCACAAAATCAATTAACCTGCACTGCTTGCAATAATTCTGAAATCATATTAACGTATTATATCTTCTAGTATTTGCAAGAAAAATAATTTCATGTTCGGACACAAGTGGATCTATAAAGCCGGCCCTCAAATTGCTTTTAGCATTTCTATATTTTGAAATAATAAATTACAAATGAATCTTGCATAGTGACACAAACTTTTGTTGATTCCTGCAGTTATTAAAATAATTATGCTCTACTTTTTTTAGCATATTGAGATAAAAATATAGTTTTCAAATGGTTTCAATTTCAAATAAATATATTTTTTAATACTTAGTACACAGTATTATACACACAAAAAATTATCTATAACAAAAACTCACTTAAAAATAAATATTTATTTCACATTATCTAATCTTTTACATTTTAATCGTCATCTTCATCAGGTAGTTGTGGATACATAATTGATTTCTTTCCACTATCTTCAGCAGGAGGTTTATTTTTATTATTTGCGGAAAGGATAGCTCCAGGACTAGGATATGGCCTCATTTGATATAGTGAACCGCTGGCAGTTGTGTCAACACCAGTTTTTGCTTCTGTCTGGTTCTGAAGTCCCGATGCCCAATTGCCTCTAGGCACATCAGAATAGGAAGAGGGATCCATAGGATCTAAGGGCGTACTTTTTACTCTTTCTTGTTGTCGGGCGCGTTTTGAAGACTTTGACTCTTGCTGCGGGGGGTGCGGCCTTTTGAATTCTCGACCAGACTGTTGGTAATGAGGTAATTTTCATTATTTTTACTTCGAAATTTATTGAAATAAGCAAAAAGAATTAAATATTTATTGTAATAACAAACAGTTTGATATTATTAACTTCCCATAGGGCAAGTTATAGTAATCGCAAAAAAATCAAAAATGAAAATTTTTATATATGTTTGTTTCAGAGGTTTCTGAACATTTTGGCATACCTTAGAAAAAATGGATGTAAGTGTGTGTGTGTGTGTGTGTGTGTGTGTGTATGTGTATGTACGTACGTATGTGTATGTATGTGCTGATACAAATTTTCGTCGACGATTTCGGGAACACGGATCAACCGATTTGAATAATTCAAAAAACATTCGATTCGTATTGATAAGGAGACGTGCTGATTAGTTTTTGGTGAAGTCAGGTCTAGCCGTTCCGAAGATACGGGGCAAAAAGTGCCGAAAACGGTAACTCAGTTTTTAAGAGAACTGAGCGTCCGATTTGAATAATTCAAAAAACATTTCACTTGTATTGACAAGATGAAGAATCGATAAAATTTTCATGAAGGTAGGTCTAGCGGTTTCGGAGATATGGAGGAAAAAGTAAAAAAATGAGCCATTTGGCAGTCAAAAATCATTATCACATATGCACATCAAATCATTAGACATATGCACATCAAATTATCAGATATTTTATAGAGATTTTAACAATAAGTATTAAATAATAATAAATTAAATTTTTTTTTTTAATTTTTTTTTTTAAAAAAGTAATTTTTTGTCCAATTTATAGTTTCTCAAAAATCTTATTTTTTCAAAGTAAATTTTTTTCAAAAATGTTAATCGTTTTTAAAAAAATAATAATTTTTGGTACGGGAAGTTCCAGCAATTTGCCTTAAGGCACGATGCCTTAATTGCCTTAAGACAGAATTCCACTTACAGTTAGTTTTTAAATTTTCAAGCACGAAGGCAATTTCATTTACATTGAATATTTTGCATTTTTATATATACCTAAACATATTATCAATAGTATAGTACAATTGTTATTCTTTATTTAAGGATAACTTACCTTTTCTTCCCGTTTAGAATCATATTTGGAAACGGTAGATTCCTCCTCACTACTGCCTGCACCGCTGTCATCACTTTCATCACCTTCTTTCATCAACCGCTCCTCTCTTAATGCTGATGCACTTTCTGTAATTATTGCTTTTGGATGTGCTGGTGGCAACCAGGACACCAAGTCATTTGATGTGTCCCAATAATAGTGTCTCCCACTAAGAAAATAAAAAATTATGTTGATAAGTACAATATAATTTTATTGTTCATATATTGTACTTACACTCCTTTGTCATAAACTTCTTTCCAATTATCTGGCAATGGATACTTCATAAGCATCCTCATTTTCTTTTCCAAATACTTTACATCAGGTTCTGTATGACCGTTTTTCCACTTTTTTACACAATAATGTGAACAATCGTGGTAAATGTTGTATTTATTAGGACAATTTTCATATCCTTTTATTTTGAAATTAATATCTAAATCAAATTCATAATCTTTTTCTGCTGGAATATATGACTTTACTGGAATTTCTTTTTGTGGATTTGTGGGTGCAGTTTCATCATAATCCTCGGCAATAATTTCTTCAGTTGGTTCAACTGGATAGAAATTAATAAATTTTTGAGTTAAAAATGTGAAATAATTAATTATCATTCTCTACATAACAATCACAATTATTTGTACATTTTAGCATAAGTTTGCTTTTTTTATTGCAAACTGCAAAATAATAAAAGAAAAATATATATACATGTTAGTGTGGTCCTTAATAAGGATATTTTGGATTTTTTTGCTCCCAAGGGCTCATTTAAAATGATACAAAAAAACTCTCTGAAAGTTTAACTTTAAGATAGTCTGCACTCCAACCAAAGTTTCTTATGGAAATTACATGGGTAAAATTCCAACTTCTTTTTAGAAATCTATAACTTAACGACAAATATAAGAAATTTTGAAAACAACGTTGTATTTGTTCATTTTGATCATAAATAAAAAATTTATAACAAAGTTCAGAGCTAAAACTTTCAAAGAATTTTTTGTTATCAATTGGGAAGTATTTGAGCCTCTGGTAGCAAAGAAATTCGAAAATATCCATATTAAGGACCAGACATTAAGTGGTAAATACATTTATATATTTACTGTTATAAATAACTTTGAGATTTTAATTACTTAAAATGAGATAATAAAGTTAAGAGATTTTAGTACGTACATATATTACATACTTCTAAAAAGTGTGATCAAATTCAAATTCTTTAAATTTTTCTACTTCACCTTGTTCACAATAACCGTGATTACATGACTTTCTTGCGTTAATAAATGACAAATATTTCATTTTTTTATTCAGAGTTCAAACATACCGGGTTGTTCATTTTGTGGTACAGCTATACCCCGTTTGGCTAATCTTGCGGCTAAGGCTGGAGGTAATGGCATATTGAGAATTGAATCTACAATTTAATATTCACCAACTCTAAATAACAATAGATGAACATTTAATTGAAAAATATGTAAAAGTTTATGAAATAATGTGTTTACTAGGGGTGTTTACTTTTGGCTACCATCGTAACATACATCTGTCAAAATGCAGTGCTACCATAAATATAATAATTTAATTTTTTTTCATTCTTTAACAATTGAGTTACCCGATTGCACACAAAATATCACGTCCATGTGTTACTTATCCATATGTTTACATATCTATGATCATGGTGGTACATTAATAAATCATTCAGCGTGCTTGCATATCCGTTCCATGTCAGTCGCCGTTCAGCCATCAATTTAAATGTTCAATTATTTCGTTCTAGCACGACAGATTTATTTAAACATTATTTATAATAAAGTAAATACTACGTGCTAGTTTTATAAAGATTTCGTTAAAATATAACACTTGATAATTTTATGTTTTCATGGCGTTTCAAGTAATTCTGAAACTTTTGAGACCTAACTTGAAAAAGTATGTGTTTATACGTACCAATTGTGGCTACAATTGTACCATTTGTGGACGTTTTCTCAAAAACTCGGACTCTCGTTGATTAGTTTTTCGCGACGATACAATTAACAGGTATGTACCAAAATTTTGGTCCATATATTTTTGCAAAAAATTCTTAACCGATTATCAACATTCAGAAACCATTTGAAGACATCATTTGGAAATAGTTCTGATTAGTTTTCCGTAGTAATGGTGTGGAATAATAGACCCATAGGGTAGAGCTGGGCATAAAGGTCCAGTTTGACTTTAAGAAATTTTATTGTGAAAACCAAACTATATATCACAATAAATAACACATATAAAATGAACAACTATTTGACTATAATCATCATCAGTAAAACTCCGAACAATAATTGTAGAAATATGTTTTTTCTGGTGTTTTTCAAAAATTTGTAACCCTATTTTATTTCAAAGGGATTTTACATAACTAATAGCTGCATTATTCAATAAATGTAAAATATAAATTTCAAGGGTTCATTTTTCTACAGAGTGCATTTTTTAACATTGTAAATCATCTTGATCTGGTATTTTGTCAGAAATATTAATCAGCAATACTGGAATAATTATTTATTTACTTTAACTCTTGTAAAATTGCATTTTTAACTTAACTTACTTTTTTATTTCCTATTTTTTTATACTTTTTACTCCTTTGCCAATTGGTCCTTTTTACCCCACCAACGTGTAAGCTTTCATTGAGGTTTTATTAAAAAAAGCGAATCTAATTTAAAATTAATAAAACATCTTATAAAACAAATAAATAACGTACACTTAAAAATAATATTAAGGTCATGTAAACTAAACAACAGTGCTCACAACCAAATAAAACTAAACAACGAAAGAAAATACTTTTGTTTGAGATTTTCAAACATTACTATGTATCTCGCGATATCTCTTTTCCTCTACTTTCAAATATTGTTGGTAAAAGTTCCTGACTTCACTAGTTTTTGAGATATCGGTGATGGACCTATTTACCCGCGGACCTTTAAACCCAAATCTACCCTATCTGATGTTCAGAAGTTTCTCCAACTCGCCTTAAGACATAAAGTCACTTACATCTATTAATGTTTTTCAAAATAAGTTAGAAACTAGTAATTTTTGGGTACGAATATATCTTTACAATTTAGCTGATGTAATTATGTAATAATTCGTTAAATTAAGGCGGATTCATTTCGTGTCGCTATCACACATATTCCAAATACATTTTGATACCCAGAAATGGTATCATGCACATTTATGGCCTATTTATATGAAAGATATCAAAACTAGTAGATGAGTAGATAATTTTTATTTTTTTGTAATTTTAGTATCAATCTACATATCAAACGCCATAGAAGCGTCCATGTCGCCAGGAACATCCATTGTGTGCATCGCATCAGCAGCTTTCGGATCGACTGTTGTACTTCCGATTCCGGTCGAAGTTTTTCGACGATTTAGTTCGGCTTTTCTCAACCACGATTTGAGCTTTTCATCCCTGCAACAGTTTAGTTATATTAATTACATATGTTTTTAACTTTCCGAATAAAGTATGTACGTGTGTGTGAACAGATTTTTTGCCGTAAATCGACGTTTTCTCAGAAACGGCTGGACCGATTTTCCGAAAAGCCATTCCATGCACCTCGATGAGGATTATTGTTTGTCAATTTCGTGCGACAATCGGCCAAGCCGTTTCTTTACAAAAAATGAAAAATTTTTCGTCCACGTTATAGCCCGCAATTCTGAATCGATTTTGAAAATTCAAAAACTGTTCGAAAGATATTGATTGGAAATCGTGCTGATTAGTTTTTGGTAGAGATCGAACAGGTTGTCTTGCTTGTAATAAAGTATCAAAGAAATTTTTATTATTATTTTTTTGACGGTAGATACCATAGTCTTATAGAATCTATAAGACTATTATAGAATCTATAAGACTAATCTATAATATAGATCATACTAAAATATTACGGCAACTCGTTTAACTTTAAAAATTCGTCAAAGTTTGCAAAAATTGGTATCGTTTTTGGCATTTGTCAAAATTAGACCTTTCATCGCCGTTTGCTCAAAAACGTCTGAACCGATTTCAACAATTTAAAAGCCATATTTGATGCACCTCGATGAGGACTATTGTTTGTCAGTTTTGTGCGACGATCTGCCAAGCCGTTTCTTTATAATTCGAAAAAAAGTCAAACTTTTCGTCCACATTTAATAAGCTCATACTACCGAATCGATTTAAAAAAATCAAAAACTGTCCGAAAGACAATAGTTGGGAATTATACTGATTAGTAGAAAAAAAAAAATAAGCCGATTTTTATGGATTTTTTTGGGGGATATTTTTCATGGTCTAATAGAACTTACTAAAATATTACGGCCTCACTACAAGTAATTTAATTTTAAAATATCATCAAAGTTTGAGAAAATGAGTATATAGTTTTTTTGACGTTTGGTTAAAATAAAAATTAGACTATTTACTTGGTATAACGATAGAGTACTATTGGTCTTAATGAACATACTAAACCATTAAAGTCCTACGAAAACTGGTTCAATTATAAAAATTGTTGATTTTTGAAAATTTGCTTATAGAAAATTCTCCGAGTTAACGTGTTCGTTCGTTTTCAATTATGTGTAACTCGGAATACTTTTAATCACTCACAAATTAATTTATTTTTTATTGATTAAGTCGATTATTTACACGTATCGGGAAGTTCATGTAACTTGCCTCAAGGCAAAATACCAATACCAACTATTCTAATATGTGTTAGAGAGGGGTAACTCCGGAGTGAGTTATATCCGAGGATATAATGGAGTATATCTACGCGGAGTTGTATCGGAGATTTTGTCATATCCCTTCCCTAAAGTCGTACTAAATCTATTATATATTAATACGTACAGACATTTGTTTAAGATTTTTTACTAATACAAAGATTTGCATCTAAAAAATCGGTCACTCTTTTGTCTCAGGCAATTTTATGACTTTCTGAGGTGTAAAATGGCCGAAGATAATACAGTTTTGTATTTTCCATGAAATAAAAAATATAACTGCAAAAGTATAGAACAAAATTGAATTGTGTTCAAGTTTAAATCAATATAAAAATAGTCAAATGCTTACTTAATAAATCCCTAGATATATGAGCAACATACTATAGAGCACATTTATGTTGAGTATTAGGTTTCGAATTCGTCGTAGTCATCGGAGTTGTTAAGTGGATATAATTTATTTCTGAAGCGGAATCAAATCCTAATCGATTCGGCTTTGGATATGATAAGACCAACTCTAATATGTATAGATCACTTGCCCAATTGATAATAGCGTTAAATAATAATTTGATGTTTAAATTTACTACAATCTCTAATTACAATACCGAATATAAATGTTATTGATAGATAAGAAGTTTATATTTAAGCTTAATGCTGATCTATTCATATTATTTGGAATTACTATATATAAAGTTAACTTTGGAATATTGAATTTGTTTTCAAAGATACATTAACTTATGTTTACAAAAATATATTTTAATTAATCTGCCCAAGCTTTGCAGAGTACAGATTTTTAATGCATGAGTACTGATTTCTCAGGTTTTTTGGTTTAGTTTTCAAAACTTAACATTCTCGATACATACCCATAACATGCATACAAAAATATATATATATATATATATATATATATATATATATGTTGATTGACAAGAAAATAAGTAGTAACCAACCCAAATTTTGTGCAAACAAATCAGCCAATTATCATAAAGATCTCTATTATTTCTCTGAATCTATTGAATTAATATATGGTTTCTAAAACACATATTTGTTATCAAAATTAAGTATTATTTCACAAACGAACAAATGAATGTGCTCTCAGTGCTCTGTCAAACTCGAAAAACAATGACTCTCATTATATCAAAGAAGCTGTTTACAAGTTAAATGGCAATCGAATTGAAAATCTAGTAAATATTACTAAAATAGATATTTACCAATTTTTTGATATGTATAATCAAATTAACTTACTGCTTTTTCATGTATATACAGTACAATATTGCAGAAAATCCGACTGTAGCCATCATTATCATAGCTATACATCCAGCAATTACGACATAATGAAATATATAATCAGCTTCTCGTTCAATTCGACCTGACAAAAAAAAATACATAAGATTAAAGTATATTTATTTATTTATAAAATACTCTTTTATAAAGGTTACAGTTTAATTCTTCGATGGAATCAAAAAATATAAAATTAATAATAAAATATATAGTAAAGATTATAAAAGTACATATATAAAACGAGATCAACACTGTCACTTTGACTATGACTATGATTTTCAACTAGCATCGGTGAAAGTAAATAATATACAGTTTCTTAAAACGAATTTATAACGTCTCCTAATCCTCGAAGACGTCTGCACAAATACATGTCAATGGGCATCAAAGTAACACTTCTTCGGTGAGCTGTGCACAAGTAAGCGTCTTCGAAGAATTGTGTCATATAAATTTCAATAGCTTCATGTAAAGCCTCAATAGCTGTTGCTGAAAATCTCATATCATTTGCTCCTAATATTTGTAGTGTTTCTTTAACAACTCTACAAAAAGCGGCCTTCGGAATAAGTAAATACGTGGTTTATTGTAACTTCTTTACTTCTCTTAACCATATTTTTTACGACGTCTTTTTCGAATTGTTGAATTATGCACTACAGGTGCATTCTTAGGTGGTGCGGTGGTTTTTGTTTTTTCAGGAGTTTTCTTAGCTCTTGCCATTTTATATATATTTTATTACAACAATTGTTTAAAATAATTAAAATGGCCGTTAAAATAACCCTTCTTTATCAAACCGTCCAGCCTGTCACCAGTCAAGGTTCGGGCGCGAATTTAATATTTTGACATGACCATGACATGACCGTTTTAGTAACAGAACTACTGGCACATTGACACTTTGTATAATGAAGCGTATTCAGTGGCTGCCAAGTGAATGTTTTTTTTAATAAATAAGCGGGGCGCATGGCATTGTGGCTTAAGGTAAATTGCTGGTACTTCCCGTACCAAAAATTATTTTTTTAAAAAAAGATTAACATTTTTGAAAAAAAATTACTTTGAAATAATTAGATTTTTGAGAAACTGTAAATTTTTGACAAAACTTTTTGAAAAAAAAATGTTTTCTTTATTTTGGAAATTCTGAACTTTTTTTCTAAGCTATCGTACTGCTTTAACAACATAAAGACGAAATATCGAAGCGCGTTAAGCGCCGCGTCGCTGTCTAACGGATAAACACTGGTACGGAACCCATAGGAATGTAAACAAAATTTATACCATAGATAAACAAGTATTTATACTTATTGTTAAAATCTCTATAAAATATCTAATAATTTGATGTGCATATGTCTAATATTTTGATCGCCAAATGGCATTTTTTTTACTTTTTTTACAAGAACTCCGAAACCGCTAGACCTGCCTTCATGAAAATTTAATCAGTTCTTCATCTTACCAATACAAGTAAAAATTATTTACAAGGAAATTATATACGAATTATTAAAATCGGACGCTCCGTTCTCTTAAAAACTTAGTTAGGGTAAGGCCGGGCTAATTGAGCATAGGGGCAAGTTGAGCAATCGAAATATCTCGAAAACTATTCACCCTCCGTTTATGCATTATATGGCGGAAAGATAGAGGTTTGGGAGAAATAGACATCCCGCGATCGCTAGTGGCCGCTCGACAAATGAATGAAGCTGACGGGCGTTTTGTTTATTTTGAGACAAAAAAGTAAAAAAGTCATTCATCACGAGTTTTCGTTTGGTTTAGTCAAATGTTATTTATTTTTAATCAGGTAAATGTTATTCTCCCACATAATTATAGTACTTTTAATATGCACAGAGATTCTGTGATGATTATTTTGAAATTCCGAGTTGGGGTTAGTTGAGCATAGTTGCTAAACTTGTTCTGTCACTAAGACAATTACCAATAACTTCCAGAAATTTATTATTTTTAAGATTTAAGCTAAGTCTATGAGTAATAATATAAAGAAATAATGATTTTAAACAAAAATACTGAATATAATGGTAAAATAATTCCTAAGATACGATATTGTTTTGTTGATTCTACTTTTCGTTAATTATTCAAAGCAAATTACTATAAGTTTTGTATTCTTTGTTAATAAAGACTGGTTATTAAAAACTTATTTTATTGCATTATTATCGACATTAAACCTATGATTTCATTATACTTTCTTAGTGCTCAACTTGCCTCACCTATGGGGTACATTGAGCATACGTGACTTTTTGCATTCAAACAGCTGTAGCTTTTAAATTTTACTTATTACCATAAAATAGTATTAACACTTTTGTTAAGCGATAAACAACAAATCCATTAAGCCGTATAACAATTTATTGAGACTTTTCATTGAGAAGCTACATCCGTTTAAGTAAAAAGTTGCTCAACTAGCCCCGCCCTACCCTACCGTTTGTGGAACTTTTTGCCCCGTATCTTCGAAACGGCTCCCTGCATATGTCAAAAACTAATCAGCACGTCTCCTTATCTACAGCAATCCAATGTTTTTTGAATAATTGAAATCGGTTGAACCGTGTTCCTGAAATCGTTGACGAAAATTTGAATCCGCACACACACACACATACACACACACACCCTCATACATCGATTTTGTGTAAGGTATGCCAAAATATTCAGAAACCTCTGAAACGTAAAGATATGCGAAAATTTTCATTTTCGATTTTTTTGCGATTACTTTAACTTACCCTATGGGAAGTTAATTATATGTATGATATAATTATATTCATAATCCTTTCACTTTTCTGTATATTCTCTTCTCACTTAAGTCGTCCAATATTTGCATTCTTCTTCGAGCTTTTGGTCGTCATATTTTTTTTCAATTTTTTAATATATCTTTTAATTTTACAATCAAATCCAGTAGAGTTGTTATCATAGATAAATATATATCTTGCCGATCCATCCATCCATTTTATCTTCTCTAGCCCCACTACCCAAAAAGTGTATATTCAAATAGAAGGTTGTCAAATATCTCCCTTCCGCCTTTTTGTATTATAAACCAAGAGCAAAAAGCGGAAGGGAGATATTTGACAACCTAATATACTTATTACAAATTTCTTTTATAAGGTTGCTGTATTTAAATAAAAATTCATGGATTTATTATTTAAATCCGCCACTAGTAGCTTATGCAATATTATATTATACTTATAATTATTCTCTATATACTTGTGAAAATGTAAACAAATTTTCTTAAAATTAAAATAATTTTTATGGCATAATTTTGAGAAAATAAACTAGTGGCGTACGGCATTGTGCCTTGAGGCAAATTGCTGGAACTTCCCGCAGCGTAACGAAATGTTCAAGGAACTTTCAATGTTTTCAAATAGATTATTATAAATACTGATGTTAAATTGTACAATATTTATAAAAATTATATAAACAGAATTAGAAAAGTTAATATAATTTATTGTTAAAATAATAAATAATTAAATATAATATATAAGTGAGTTTTAGAAATTTATCCAGAATTAAAATCAAAATCTGAATTATTTTCGATATTCAAAAAAAAAAAATATTTGAAAAAAAAATGAAAATAAAATGTTTAAAACAAAATTTTTTTCCAAAACAATTATTTTGTCAAAACAAGCAGAACGTTTTTTGAATCATTCAAATCGGATGCTTAGTTCTCTCAAAAACTGCAATTTTTTGCACATTTAGCTCGGTATCTTCGAAATGGCTGGGCCTGCCTTTGCCAAAAACTAAACACCACTTCTCTCTCTCTCAATAGAAATCGAATTTTTGAACCATTCAAATCGGTTGATCTGTGCGCCCGAAAACGTGGACAAAAAATTATATCCATACATACATACGCACACATCCATTTTTTCTGAGGTATGCCAAAATGTTCAGAAACCTTCAAAACGTGAAGAAATGCAAAAAAATTCAATTCCGATTTTTGGACGATTACAATAACTAACTCTACGGGAAGTTAATAACATGCATCTAAGGTTCTATTATAAGAATTATTACCAGACTTTAGAATTAGATCTACTACATATTAGATCTGCCGGAAAGTTATGTCAGTTTATGGATGTGATCAAACAAATAACTATTTTTTCTTTCGCCAATTAATTTTATTGAATAATTTAATTGCCATTATTATTGATGATCTCTTGTCAGCGTGAAGGAAATTTGTCTTTAGATGCCAGAAATTGAACCAATGATAGACATCTTTATTTTTTGACGAGTGCCTAAAGCAGGCGCATGTGGCCTGGTGTTATCGTGTGCAGTATACATGGTCTGTTCAAAAAGTACCCGGAATTACTAATAATTAAATTTCGCGGGTCTGGAGTGTCTGATTGTCAAAATTTTTTTTTATTGTGTTGGTATACATGCCCCTAAAGTATGATGAAATTTTCAGCTATATTCACTGTTTACTTTGTCTGTGGTAGTCGCTAAGGTTCGACGTGTTTTTCTGAGCTCGGCGATTTTTACAATGGAAGAATTGAAAAGTCAAAGAATTTGTATTAAATTTTGCGTAAAAAATGAAATAAAGTGTTGCAAAGTGCAAAAATTCACCAGATATGGCTCCGTGTGACTTTTTCCTATTCCCAAAGTTGAAGAGACCCATGAAAGGACGGCGGTTTTCCTCGATTGAAGAAAATCGCTGAGAGTGCTCAAGGACATATCAAAAAGTGAATATCAAGGGTGCTTCGAAAATTGGAAAAAACGCTGGCATAAGTGTATTATATCTGGGGGGGACTACTTTGAAGGGGACCACATTAATGTAGACGAATAAATAAATATTTTTTTGAAAAAACGAAAATTCCGGAAACTTTTTGAACAGACCTATGCTCCTTCTTCGGACTTCTGTCTTCAAATTATCCAGTTGCTGACAATACTTTTCCGAATTTAGTTTTTTGTTTAATTTTGAAAGTTGATAATGTATTGGTCCTTAATTCAGACTCTTTGGTTTAGACTTTAGAGGCTTAACGTCCAGGTTTTCTAGGTTATGCTAGCATGCCATTTTTACAGTATTGTCGTATTTAATTCACTTGTTATCCTCAGTTATCATCTGATTCAAAAAGGGCCCGATTTTTATTTTTTTTATTTTTTATTTTCAAATTATAACTGTCCAGGAGGCATTCAGTAATTATGAGTAAAGTAATAAATGATATTTTAAAATACCAGCCATTGGTAGTATTTTAATATGCAGAAAAAATTATAAATCTAAATTGTAAATTAACTATGCTGAATCTAATGGGTTTAATCTTCCTAATCTCCTATAGTATATTTGTGGAGAGCAAGTTTTTCTAGTATATTTGTAGAGGTAAGAGAGATGTACATATGACAACTCGATCATCTAAATTTTTCTGATTTCATTCATGGAGCACTTATGTTGAAAACTAGCATTCTAACTCTATTTTCCGAATATGACCAGTAATGATTTGTTGAGCCGAATTAAACTTATCTGCATTCTCCGATGATGCCAGTAAATCATATTTCTCCAACATTACTTTAACAACATCGTGGTCGATCAAAGATGCTCGACCGGTAGGTACGTGGCTCAACATAAAGTTTGAAATCACCTGTTTTAAATTATGCATACCATCTTTTGCATGTCCTATCACAAACTGTACCTTCACTAAACACTTTAAATAAATTTCTACTGGCTTCTGTAGTATTCCTTCCTCATTAGAAATTATATAAAATCTTAAAACTTAGTTAGTCGCCACGGTTATACTGAAGTTTCACACTTAAGGCTAATATGCCGGCATGCAATAAATGTGGCAAAAATGATATTATAGATTAGGACAGACCATCTCGGTAGACCTAATATACCTATTGAATTTATATTGCAATTCTAAATGGACTGAAAAATATGATCAATAAGTAAATTTAGTTCAATTGGAGGTAATAATCGATGATTCTATTTTTACTGATATGTTTAAGAATATTTTCAAAATTATTAAAAAAATAGAATTAAAATAACTGTTGTAATAAACTATTTACCTTCATTATCTTCTTTCTCTAATAATGATTCTAGTTGATCGAAGGAATAATCACATTTTTCAGTAGTTCGATTGTAAGCTCCAAACCTTGTAAAAGATAATTTCAATTTAGACCAAAATTATTAAATGCCAAAATTCAGACATATATAAAATTATAAATTCACGATTCAATATATATATAGTGACTAGTGAGAAATGTATGTATGTAAATAATTCACTTTCTGATTCACATAGAAATGGCAACTAAATAATTGATATTCAAACACGAATAATTAAAAAAAAATATTGCAGAAAAGTTGAGGTTTCGATTAACCAGTTAACTGTGATCCACGAATATAAATGTCATGAAGAATTGGCAGAATTTTGTGTATTGACGAGTATAATCGGCATTATACATATAAAACATTACTTAAATTAAATTTTAAAACATATAGGGTGCTGTGGACGGAAGTAAGCCACGTTTTTATTTTTGGTTGTTAAAAATGAAAATATTTTTTTTTGTAGTTGTAGTTTTAAAATGCAATGCAGATGCTTGCAATTATCTTTGGAAGTATATCTTTTGTTGAATGGCAAAAAAGTGTATTTACCGTGTTTTCCGAAATTGTAGGGAGCAATGAGCCACCCAAATTTTCATCTGAAAAATGCTGCTATTTGCTACAAATTCTTACCCTGAGGGTTTCCAAATGCGCCGATTACGATCCGTTATCAAATTTACAAAATTCAAAATAGTTGACACGAAATGTAAATCAGTAATAATGTTCATTTAATGTCTGAAAGAAAGGATTATAAAGCTGGAATGATAAAATTGCCGACAAACATTTTGCAACATTCAAGCACAGATTATATGTGCAATTGGTGCATGTAAAGACGGTGCAGTTCGTCATATCGTCGCACTTTAAGTGAAAGGGCCTGTCGCAGTTATGGCACTCGGTAGAGTTTTTGTCTGATTTACCGGCATCAATTTAATGCAAAATATGCAAAAATCCATGTCTTTATTTGAAGAAACTGAAGACTTTCATTTTTGCCTTTTTTTAAAGCTGATTGCAAAGTATTGGCCTTCTTTGAAACTTTTGCTGATACTTGCAATTTTTGACGCTGTGCTGCTTCTTCCGCGACCTCTCTGTTTTCGGAGGATGTACTGATACTTTTAAAAGACGATCCGATATTTTATTTATTTTCACTTCATTCCTAGCAATAATCAATTTTTCATAATTCACAAAATTCACATTTGGGAGTTCCCTGTCATTTTAGGAGGCATGATGACCGAAGTGATAAAAATAAGTAAATAAAACGTTTCAATAATCGATAAAAACACTATACTGTGCAGAGAACGGCATTTCTCAAGTGGCCCATGTCTGTCTACAAATAGTGGCCCACTTCTATCTACAATTTGTATATGCATCCCACAAAAATAATAGGTATCTCTTTCGGCAAAAGTCACTATGCAATCGGCAAAAGTCACTATGCATTTCGAAGATCATATGCCTATATAATAAATTGTATGTTTACTTGAATTTTTCTCGTTAAAATTCGATGACAAATCGCCTAAAAGCGTACAAGGGTAAAAATTTCTCGGCGAAATTCTTAGCACGTATCTCTGTACAGTGCTAAAGTAGGTTTATAACCTCCAAATGCTTTTTAAAATTGAGCAAGTATCAAAATATGATAAACGTGTGCGCGGTTCGAAATACATGTCACTAGTTTTAGAGTTATTCGAGTGGCCCACTCCAACCTGTGGCCAAAGTCTGTCCACCGCACTCTATATATGTATTTTGAAATATTTGGAATATTTTGAGGCTATGACGGTATAAAATAAATAGTAAGTGTAAGGTGATCATACGTCCCGGTTTTCAACCTAGTGTCCCGGATTTGCCAAAAGAAATGATTGCCCTGGATTTAGAACATTTGCCCGGGTTTTCGAGAAGTATTGATTCATATTGAAACTTCACAATTACTACAATAAAAAATGTTAGTAAAGCCTAAAGTTTTCTGCAATGCACTTCTTTCATTTTGCAATGATACAATTCATAAAGCATTTATTAGTACCTCCCACATTGGCATGTAGTCGGCCCACCCTTTTCAGCGGCATAGCAAAACAGTCCTAGACATTGAGATTCTTCTTGGCAGGGATTTCCAAAGGTTGTTACTTAAATAAATATTACATTGATTATTATTTTTATTGAAATTACTAATTAATATCTACACAAGCGTAAATATAATAAAATAAAAAACACATTTTAAGACAAAATTCTTTTTTTTATTTAATATACTTTCTTTCGAGGATGATTTACCAAATAATACCGGATTATAGCAAACTTCGAACTTTTTGATACCATTTTTGTTCCATGGATATAAAATAAATTCTTAAAAAAAATTTGTTTTTTTTTATTGATGCTATGTCCGATTATTAGACTTTCATAATACATATGCCAACATCTATTTCTATATATCTTTGTGTGTTTGTGTGTGTATGTATGTATGTATATCTTTAAGAAACGCTAGAAAAGAGATGGATTAATTTGAATGATATCAAAATGTTTGATTCTTAAGGACAAGGCGCAGACTTTACTTCTCATTGTTTTTGAATTGTCAATTTCAAAAATATGGAAAAGTTGCTATTACAACAAATTTTAGTAAATATATATTTATATTTTCTAAATTTAAAAACTGACTTGTCTATACAAACAAAAGAACCATAAAGTTTTGGAAATTTGTTTGGTACTTTTAGCTCATTTTGTTTCCTGCTTGTATAAAAAAATATCCAACACCCATATAAAATTGTTACAAAACAAAAGGAGTAGAAACGTTTACAACAATGGTGATTTTGGACAAACAACAATTATTATTGAAACCTAGCTTATAGCATATGACTGATATAAAAAGTCAATTTATTATTAGAATCGGAAAAACAATACTACTCAGTACTTATAAGCAGACTAACCATTATAACAGAATCCTTCGTGTTGTATCAGACCGGCTTTGCAACGGCAATTTCCAAAACTGCACCACTGTAAAGGGTTATTGCAATCAGTATCCTCCTCGCACTGCGTTCCTAAAGAAATCATCAATTTGCCTCATAAAGGCAATACTTCTATCTCATGCTATTTATAATATGGTGTTATGTTATGCAAAAGTTATAGATTAAATAACAGAGTTATTGTCATTTTAAATATATTTCTATGATTTACAAATTATAAGTTATTTTAGTTATTACTTTAAATATTTTTCAATGTAGCAATCAAGTAATACCCCGCATAACTAACTTGTTAAACGTTTTTAATTCGGCCCAGTGTATAATGGTTGAAATTTTGGAAGAAATAGTGAAATTAGCGAAACAATCCCAATTGGATTAGATAAATTGGAATTTGTTGCAGAAATAGTTCAAGAAACAACAGCTAGTCCATGGCTAGTTCTTCTAATGATGATCTGAAGAAATTAAATGAGAATGAAGAAAACAACAATATTAATTTTGAAGAAGAGTGAAAAGAACTTTCAATGGTATTTGTAAATGGATCTTTGACCAATGATAGAAAATATAGAGCATTTTTTTGAAAATTATAAAGATTTTGACATAAGTTGAAATGTAAGATGAGGTGTTGTGGATACTTATTGTCCAATCATCAACAACTTGTAAAAGAACCCAGAAAAAACGCAAGTTGCGTTTGATGTCTTCTTGCCAAAAAGGTGAAAAATGGGAAACGCAAGCTGAATGATCTAACTGAATACGAACACACACACACACATATACAAAACTCAAAAAATCGAAGAGAATGGCAGGACCTATATAACGCCTGAGTGCTTTAAGGATTGCTTGCGCATTTTGCACAATATCGGAGGAAGCACTGTGCGTCATTTCGGAACTCTGCCTCTCTTAGTCTTAGCAGAGGAAAGACGGCCAATTTATCATCGAAGACATCAACATCTGAGTCCTGAAAAGTTGAGAATAGAAGAACGGCAGAATAGCATTGACCGATGGCAGCAACTATCGGATGTCGCATTGAAGGGCAGATGGACGCATCGTCTCATTCCAAATGTCAAAGTCTGGCTCAATCGCAAGCATAGGAAAGTAAATTAATTTACTTCCCTATGCTTGCGATTGAGCCAGACTTGTCAATATCGCTTCAACAACAGTATCTGAAGTAATTCTTTGCCTCATCGTCCCGTAGAGCACTAAATTGCACTAATAATAATTATTATACTACGCAATTGCTATCTGGGCACGGCTGTTTTCGAGCCTACCTACACCGCTTCAAGCACGATAGCTCGCCGGATTGCTCATATTGTTAGGGCGAAATCGAGGATGCTGAGCACGTGTTCTTCATGTTCCCGCGATTTAGTGCTCTACGGGACGATGAGGCGAAGAATTACTTCAGATACTGTTGTTGAAGCGATATTGACAACTGAAGCTGCTTGGAACGCCATAGACAGATTTGCGAGAGATGTGCTAATTGACCTGCGATCTATGGAAAGAGAAAGGGCAAATGGGACTTCGCACAATTACAAGCTAAGTATAAAATCAAGATAAGAATTTTAACATTCTGAATCCTTCCCCACAAGTAATGCTGAACGGCGGTTTCCATGGAGACAGAGGCAGGCCAAAGCGGAGGTTTTAGTCGGTAATATTAGAGTCCGACATACCCAGTTAAACACCAGCCTGGGATGCATAAAGGCATTTTTTTTTCGCTATACAAAAAACGCACATATACACAAATCCCATTTTCTCTCTGAAGTATGTCAAAATGTTCAGAACCTCTGAATCGTAAAGATATGCAAAAATTTTCAATTTTATTTTCGCCTATTACTATAACTTACCCTACGGGAAGTTAAAAAGCAATAATACATAAAAAAATAAAATTAATATTTATTCTAACTCTGATAATAAATTCTCCTGACAAAGTTTCATGTAGTGAAAATTGTATCCATCAGTGCGTTCTTTATAAAAATGTGCCCTAAAAATATGTATTTCAAATAGAAGGTGTATTTATCTCGATTTGTATTATTGTATTTCCAGAAATAATGAGTTTGATTATAATTATGATAATAAATTGATCAGATCTGATCAGATCAAATCAATACTACTAAAATAAGTTTTATGAAGTGTAAGAGTTGTAATAAAAATGCAATTATGATTTTTATTTTGTCATTTAAATTAATAAAATCAAGAGCATCGCAATTATTGCATAATGTAGTTATCAATCTATAAAACTTTTTTAAAAAAAAATAAAATAAAATGATGAATTTTTTTAACCAGGTGACAATTTTTTAAAAAGTAACTAAAAAATATATTTTAACAATGATGAATTAACTGAGAGTTTTAATGAACACTTAGTCATGTTTGTTTAATGTGTGTTATTTGTTGTGATATAAATTAATTGGTTTGGTTTTCACAAAATAATTGCTCAAAGTCAACTTTTGGAACTTTGTGCTCCGCCTATTCTATGTATCTTAGTTTATATTATTTTTATTAAGCATAAAATAAATATTTGGCGCTATTTTTATTAAAATGCACAATTTTTCGATCAACCAATCCCTAATCCTATTATACTGCATGTTGGGGTAGCCCCGCTAGCGCTTTTTTGCTTTACGCTCTACTTATAACGTAAAACCCGCGCGTTTTAAGCGGATAATCACTTTACATAAGTTTGTATAATAGTTAATTGAAATTAATTAAAATAAATGATAAAGTTAAGGATTATAATAAATTTTATACTTACAACGAATCGTGCCTGCAGTTTCCGCATGTATTATACGCACATACAAAAGAAGCAAAATCAAGCTATTTTTAATAAGCTAGAATAGGACTCTGCTTGCCTGTGTTACATATATGTTATATATTTATATATAATCTGTTATATATACATATACATACACGTTATATATATATATATATATATATATATATATATATATGTAGGTATTATACATTCTTAGTAGTTTACTGTATATGTGAGAGTTTGCATACGTAATAATTAATATCCATGCATGTGTTGATTACTGATTATGAGTTCAATCAAAACTTAAAATAAA